CCAACAACGGCGCCCACCCACGTGTTGGCGATGTGCAACTGCTTGAGAGGCGTGTACACCCCCGCGTACAGTGCTATGTTGGCCGCCCCCAGACCCGCTGTCATGCTGTTGGTCTGTGTATGGATGCATGCACACAAGCGAGCAGGGAGGGGAGAGAGAGGAGGGCGATGTGCAGCTGCTTAAGAGGCGTGTACACCCCCGCGTACAGCAGTATGTTAACCGCCCCTAGACCCGCTGTCATGCTGTTGGTCTGTGCACACACGCATGCACAGGAGGGGGGGAAGAAAGGGAGGGGGGAGGCGTGCATCTGCTTCAGCGGCGTGTACACGCCCGCGTACAGTGCTATGTTGGCCGCTCCTAGACCTGCTGTCATGCTGTTGGTCTGTATGCAAGCATGCATACACGCACGGGGAAAAGGGAGAGAGAGACGGGGGGAGGGGGCAATGTGCAGTTGCTTGAGAGGCGTGTACACGCCCGCGTACAGTGCTATGTCGACTGCCTCCAGACCTGCTGTCATGCTGTTGGCCTGTGCATGCACACACCCACACATGCGCACGCACCAGTGCACGCACATACAAACATACATAATGCGTTTTTTATCGACTCAATACACCTCCCAGGTGAACTTTCATGATGTTAGCCTGTACAAATGCATGCACGGATGCACACGAGCGGGGAGGGGAGAGACGGGCGCGGAGACGAGGGGCCGCTGAAGGTGAGTTGATGGAGGGATGAAGCAATGTGGCGACCTGTTGATGCTATTGCATTGCATTACCTGACTGCACTGCACACAACACCTGACTGCACCGCACACCACACCTGGGTTGCGAGGATGGCGAGGCCGCTGGCCCCAGTGAGCAGCCCCCATGCGATGGCGTGCTGGCGGGTCATCCGCCCTGCTGGCAGCGGCCTGCCCCGCGTGCGTTTCATCAGGGCATCGTTCGCCACTTCGTACACCTGGGAGAGGGACGAGCAAAGGGGGAGAGTGCACAGAAAGGCGCAGGGGGCACAGAAAGGCGCAGGCGCAGAAAAGCGCAGGGGTGCGCTTCATCAGTGCGCCATTCGCCACCTCGTACACCTGGGAGGGGACAAGCAGAGGCCCGCAGGGAGAGCACGGGTTAACAGGGGTTAACAGGGCGCACAGCGGGTGGGGCACAGGATGGTCATCCGCCCTGCTGGGAGGGGCCTGCCCACGTGCGCTTCATCAGTGCATCGTTCGCCACCTCGTACACCTGGGGGGCGGACAGGAGGACGCGCAGAGACATGAGGTAACAGGGGGGCGCAGGGGGTGCAGGGGGGCACAGGGAAGCACAGGGGGGTAACAGGGGGGCACAGGGAGCGCAGGGGGGCACAGGGAAGCACAGGGAAGCACAGGGAAGCACAGGGAAGCACAGGGAAGCACAGGGAAGCACAGGGAAGTACAGGGAAGCACAGGGAAGCACAGGGAAGCACAGGGAAGCACAGGGAAGCACAGGGGGGCGCAGGGGGGCGCAGGGAGGCGCAGGGGGGCGCAGGGGGGCGCAGGGGGGCGCAGGGGGGCGCAGGGGGGCGCAGGGGGGCGCAGGGGGGCGCAGGGGGGCGCAGGGGGGCGCAGGGGAAAACGGCGTAATCATCCGGCCTGCCGGCAGCGACCTGCCCCGCGTGCGCTTCATTAGTGCGTTGTTTGCCACCTCGTACACCTGGGAGGGGGACAGGGGGGCGCAGGGGAGGGAGGGGAGGGAGGGTTGTTGGGTGGGAAAGGGGGCGAGGAGAGGGTGAGTCATGCACAATGCACAATGCACAATGCACAATGCACAATGCACAATGCACAATGCACAATGCACAATGCACAATGCACAATGCACAGGAATGGGTGACGATGGGTGAGAGGTGAGGGGCGCGGCAAGCAAGCAGCAAGGGCAGCAGACAGCATGGGCAGTGGGCAGGCACACCTGGTTCCACGTGTTGGCGGAGGCAGCTGCGAGGAAGGTTCCTAGGGAGGTCCATCCGAGTCCCGCCCAGTCAACGCGGTCCCCACTGCCCATCGCAAACCCCGCTGCTGCCGTCGCCACCACCAGCAGACTGGGGGGTGAACGGCGCGCAGGGGGGTGAGAGGAGCACAGGGGAGCGAGAGACGGAGGCAGGGAGTGAGGGGCACAGGGGGGCAGGAGTGGAGTGAAGTCCATGCGAGTCCTGCCCCGCCCAGTCAACGCGGTCCCCACTGCCCATCACATACCCCGCTGCTGCCGTCGCCACCACCAGCAGGCTGGGGTGAGCGGCCAGGGGAGGACGCCACGCGCGCATGGGGTCGGGTCAAGAGACAGGAAGGGTTGACACGTGCAGGGGGCGGGAGGCAGGTGGTGCGCGACAGAGGGAGGAGAGGGAATAGAGGGAATGCTGTGCGCAATGGAAGATGCTGTTTGCAGCGGGTGGACGCTACGCGCGAGGCACACGAGAGGGAAACGGAAAAGGCGTCATCTTCACATCCACAGCAGCGCCACGCGTCAGCTCCCCGCCTCCCCGCACGCTCCCACCCACCTGAACCGCACCCCACCCACCTGGGCCGCGCCCCACCCACCTCAACCGTGTCTTGCTGAGCTCGTAGTAGCACCGCCCGTAGTGCTTCCACACGCTCACGCCTGCCGCCCGGCCCGCCGCCGCGCCTGCCGCGGGGACCGCGAGGCTTGCGCGGGCGGCGGCGGGCAGAGCGGCGGCGGCGGAGAGGGTGGCGGAAGAGAGGGTGGCGGAGGAATGCGTGAGGGCGGAGCGGAGCGCGGAGAGCGACGGGGAGGTGACCGCGAGGGCGAGGGGCGATGCGTGCCGCCATGCGCCGATGCGCGTCGCGGAGGCGGCGAGGGATGCGGGGCCGTGGGGGACGACGAGCGACGGGATGAGGCGCGCGTGATGCGGCGTGGCGGCGGAGGGCGGGGCGGCGTGCGCGAGGGAATGCAGCGGATAAGGACCGCCCGGTGCGGGCGCGCCGTGCGCGCCGCGACACGCGGGCGCATGGGTCAGCGACGCGACCTGCTTGCGCGCCTCGCGGCACGCCACCCGCCACATGGTTCTGGTGGTGGCGCCGCGCGAGTGAACCGCCGGCGGTGGTGTCGACGAGGACGGCAACAGCCAGAGACTAAAAGTAACGACGATTATTTAGTGGATCTAACGCGGCGAGTCGAGAGCGTGCCGTGCGCCGCGTTTCGTTTCGAAGAAAGCAGCGCGGCGAAGGAAGGCACGGCGGGACGCGCGAGGCTCCCTGAAGGCGGCTCGCACACACAAGGCTCAAGGCCCAACGTCTCTGAAATAGGTGGAAGGAGCCTCGAGAAAACAAACACCGTGGCGAAACCAGGGTTGCAGCTTCGGATTCCCAAGGCAGGTCCGTGGCTCAGGCTCGTGAACAAAACGGAGCAACGGAATCATGGCTTAAGGTGTACGCGTTACTAGCTATATGGGTGTACTCACAAACTTGTCTAACATAAATTATTCGTTCCTGCCACTTCGATCGAACTTGAACCAGACCCAGGCAGTGAGCATCGCGCAAACCAAGCCTACCATACATCCCATCCCACAGCAGTCTTCTCATTCAAATCCATCAGACCTGCCCATTCCAGTGTCCGCCGCGTCGCGTCTTCATATCGAGCGATCAAATCTCCTCGTTTCAAGTCTCAACGCGCCATTTAGCGAGCTCTCTCTGTGTGTCGTCGCCGCAACCAGCGCTTCGTCTCCGTCAACGTCTCTCCCGCTCCTCCAACCTCCACCCTCAATTCCCGCCCGTCAACGTCTCTCGCGCGCTTCACCCTCCACCCTCAATTCTCGCACCGGGCCCCTCGGCCCTCCGATCTTGCCTCTCGCGCGGTGCGACTGCCGCGTGCTTTTCGCGAGGAGCGCAGAGGGCGTGGTGCGGATCGCGACAGCGGCGGGGAGAGCAGCAGCTTCGGTCGGCATGGCGGAGCAGCAGCAGCTAGGGCCCACACAGGTGAGGTCGGCCCCGCGCAGGTGAGGTCGGCCCCGCGCAGGTGAGGTCGGCCCCGCGCAGGTGAGCCGTGCGTGCCGCTGTTCCCCACTCGCGCCTTGCAGCTGAGCGCGCGCCATTCGCGCCAACCCGTTGCGCGCGATCCCGTAAGATCGCGTAGCCTGCCGTGCCTTTAGATCGCATCCTGCGCCCCACGACGCCCCAAGATGCCCCACGACGCCCCACGACGCCCCTCGCCCCGTGCGCGCACCTGGCGCTGAAGGGCATAACGCAGCTCCCGTTTGGCGCGCTGAGTGCGCATCGCCGTCGCATGGCATCAATGCTCTGGGAATGGGGTGCAACGCCGCCGTCCGCAGCCGTTGCACCCCATTCCCAGAGCGTTGATGCCATGCCCCCACTGCCCGCCCCCCTCCCCCCATTCCCTCCCATACCGCGTGCAGATACCGGTAGAAGACATTCCGTGCCTGCCGGTGGAGCAGGTGCGGCAGATCAGAGAGCAGGTGGAGGGCGAGGCGAGGCGAGGTGCCGTGCCATGCGCCCTGTCATGCCCTGGGCTCCATGCCCCCCTCCTCCCCTCCGTCTTGCCCTGCTATGCCCCACAGATATCAGTGAAAGACATCCCCCGTCTGCCAGTGGAGCAGGTGCGGCAGATCCGCGAGCAGGTGGAGGGCGAGGTGACGCCATGCCGTGCCATGCCCCACTCTGTTCCTTCGCTTCGCCCCTGTTCCACCCCTCCCCACTCCTCGCCCTGCCCCACAGATATCACTGAAAGACATTCCGCGCCTGCCAGTGGAGCAGGGCAGATCCGCGAGCAGGTGGAGGGCGAGGTGAAGCTGTGACATGCCATGCCCCACTCCCCCCCTGCCATGCTATGCCCGCCTATGCCTTGCCCTGCGCACAGATATCAGTGAAGGATATTCCTCGTCTGCCAGTGGAGCAGGTGCGGCAGATCAGGGAGCAGGTGGAGGGCGAGGTGAATCTGTGTCATGCATGCCTTAGTCCGTTCCCCTGACCCTGCTCCACCGCACTCCACTCCTTCTCATGACAGATATCAGTGAAGGACATTCCGCGTCTGCCAGTGGAGCAGGTGCGGCAGATTCGAGAGCAGGTGGAGGGCGAGGTGAAGCTGCTCGCCGACTCCCTCGCCTCGCTGCGCGCTGCCCTTGCCCGCATTGATGCCTCGCGGGCCGCTGTTGAAGCCATGGCGAAACAGCAGCAAGGTGCGCAGGGGGGGGTGGAGAGCGTGGGGCGAGGCTCGCAGGAGGTGAGGCTCCAAGGAGGTGAGGCTCGCAGGAGGTGAGGCTCCAAGGAGGTGAGGCTCCAAGGAGGTGAGGCTCCAAGGAGGTGAGGCTCCAAGGAGGTGAGGCTCGCAGGAGGTGAGGCTCCAAGGAGGTGAGGCTCCAAGGAGGTGAGGCTCCAAGGAGGTGAGGCTCCAAGGAGGTGAGGCTCCAAGGAGGTGAGGCTCGCAGGAGGTGAGGCTCGCAGGAGGTGAGGCTCCAAGGAGGTGAGGCTCCAAGGAGGTGAGGCTCCAAGGAGGTGAGGCTCCAAGGAGGTGAGGCTCCAAGGAGGTGAGGCTCCAAGGAGGTGAGGCTCCAAGGAGGTGAGGCTCCAAGGAGGTGAGGCTCCAAGGAGGTGAGGCTCCAAGGAGGTGAGGCTCCAAGGAGGTGAGGCTCCAAGGAGGTGAGGCTCGCAGGAGGTGAGGCTCGCAGGAGGTGAGGCTCGCAGGAGGTGAGGCTCGCAGGAGGTGAGGCTCCAAGGAGGTGAGGCTCCAAGGAGGTGAGGCTCCAAGGAGGTGAGGCTCCAAGGAGGTGAGGCTCCAAGGAGGTGAGGCTCGCAGGAGGTGAGGCTCCAAGGAGGTGAGGCTCCAAGGAGGTGAGGCTCCAAGGAGGTGAGGCTCCAAGGAGGTGAGGCTCCAAGGAGGTGAGGCTCGCAGGAGGTGAGGCTCGCAGGAGGTGAGGCTCCAAGGAGGTGAGGCTCCAAGGAGGTGAGGCTCCAAGGAGGTGAGGCTCCAAGGAGGTGAGGCTCCAAGGAGGTGAGGCTCCAAGGAGGTGAGGCTCCAAGGAGGTGAGGCTCCAAGGAGGTGAGGCTCCAAGGAGGTGAGGCTCCAAGGAGGTGAGGCTCCAAGGAGGTGAGGCTCGCAGGAGGTGAGGCTCGCAGGAGGTGAGGCTCGCAGGAGGTGAGGCTCGCAGGAGGTGAGGCTCGCAGGAGGTGAGGCTCCAAGGAGGTGAGGCTCCAAGGAGGTGAGGCTCCAAGGAGGTGAGGCTCCAAGGAGGTGAGGCTCCAAGGAGGTGAGGCTCCAAGGAGGTGAGGCTCCAAGGAGGTGAGGCTCCAAGGAGGTGAGGCTCCAAGGAGGTGAGGCTCGCAGGAGGTGAGGCTCGCAGGAGGTGAGGCTCGCAGGAGGTGAGGCTCGCAGGAGGTGAGGCTCGCAGGAGGTGAGGCTCCAAGGAGGTGAGGCTCCAAGGAGGTGAGGCTCCAAGGAGGTGAGGCTCCAAGGAGGTGAGGCTCCAAGGAGGTGAGGCTCCAAGGAGGTGAGGCTCCAAGGAGGTGAGGCTCCAAGGAGGTGAGGCTCGCAGGAGGTGAGGCTCGCAGGAGGTGAGGCTCGCAGGAGGTGAGGCTCCAAGGAGGTGAGGCTCCAAGGAGGTGAGGCTCCAAGGAGGTGAGGCTCCAAGGAGGTGAGGCTCCAAGGAGGTGAGGCTCCAAGGAGGTGAGGCTCCAAGGAGGTGAGGCTCCAAGGAGGTGAGGCTCCAAGGAGGTGAGGCTCCAAGGAGGTGAGGCTCGCAGGAGGTGAGGCTCGCAGGAGGTGAGGCTCGCAGGAGGTGAGGCTCGCAGGAGGTGAGGCTCGCAGGAGGTGAGGCTCCAAGGAGGTGAGGCTCCAAGGAGGTGAGGCTCCAAGGAGGTGAGGCTCCAAGGAGGTGAGGCTCCAAGGAGGTGAGGCTCCAAGGAGGTGAGGCTCCAAGGAGGTGAGGCTCCAAGGAGGTGAGGCTCCAAGGAGGTGAGGCTCCAAGGAGGTGAGGCTCCAAGGAGGTGAGGCTCGCAGGAGGTGAGGCTCGCAGGAGGTGAGGCTCGCAGGAGGTGAGGCTCGCAGGAGGTGAGGCTCGCAGGAGGTGAGGCTCCAAGGAGGTGAGGCTCCAAGGAGGTGAGGCTCCAAGGAGGTGAGGCTCCAAGGAGGTGAGGCTCCAAGGAGGTGAGGCTCCAAGGAGGTGAGGCTCCAAGGAGGTGAGGCTCCAAGGAGGTGAGGCTCCAAGGAGGTGAGGCTCCAAGGAGGTGAGGCTCCAAGGAGGTGAGGCTCCAAGGAGGTGAGGCTCCAAGGAGGTGAGGCTCCAAGGAGGTGAGGCTCCAAGGAGGTGAGGCTCCAAGGAGGTGAGGCTCCAAGGAGGTGAGGCTCCAAGGAGGTGAGGCTCCAAGGAGGTGAGGCTCCAAGGAGGTGAGGCTCCAAGGAGGTGAGGCTCCAAGGAGGTGAGGCTCCAAGGAGGTGAGGCTCCAAGGAGGTGAGGCTCCAAGGAGGTGAGGCTCCAAGGAGGTGAGGCTCGCAGGAGGTGAGGCTCGCAGGAGGTGAGGCTCGCAGGAGGTGAGGCTCGCAGGAGGTGAGGCTCGCAGGAGGTGAGGCTCCAAGGAGGTGAGGCTCCAAGGAGGTGAGGCTCCAAGGAGGTGAGGCTCCAAGGAGGTGAGGCTCCAAGGAGGTGAGGCTCCAAGGAGGTGAGGCTCCAAGGAGGTGAGGCTCCAAGGAGGTGAGGCTCCAAGGAGGTGAGGCTCCAAGGAGGTGAGGCTCCAAGGAGGTGAGGCTCCAAGGAGGTGAGGCTCGCAGGAGGTGAGGCTCGCAGGAGGTGAGGCTCGCAGGAGGTGAGGCTCGCAGGAGGTGAGGCTCCAAGGAGGTGAGGCTCCAAGGAGGTGAGGCTCCAAGGAGGTGAGGCTCCAAGGAGGTGAGGCTCCAAGGAGGTGAGGCTCCAAGGAGGTGAGGCTCCAAGGAGGTGAGGCTCCAAGGAGGTGAGGCTCCAAGGAGGTGAGGCTCCAAGGAGGTGAGGCTCGCAGGAGGTGAGGCTCGCAGGAGGTGAGGCTCGCAGGAGGTGAGGCTCGCAGGAGGTGAGGCTCGCAGGAGGTGAGGCTCCAAGGAGGTGAGGCTCCAAGGAGGTGAGGCTCCAAGGAGGTGAGGCTCCAAGGAGGTGAGGCTCCAAGGAGGTGAGGCTCCAAGGAGGTGAGGCTCCAAGGAGGTGAGGCTCCAAGGAGGTGAGGCTCGCAGGAGGTGAGGCTCGCAGGAGGTGAGGCTCGCAGGAGGTGAGGCTCCAAGGAGGTGAGGCTCCAAGGAGGTGAGGCTCCAAGGAGGTGAGGCTCCAAGGAGGTGAGGCTCCAAGGAGGTGAGGCTCCAAGGAGGTGAGGCTCCAAGGAGGTGAGGCTCCAAGGAGGTGAGGCTCCAAGGAGGTGAGGCTCCAAGGAGGTGAGGCTCCAAGGAGGTGAGGCTCGCAGGAGGTGAGGCTCGCAGGAGGTGAGGCTCGCAGGAGGTGAGGCTCGCAGGAGGTGAGGCTCCAAGGAGGTGAGGCTCCAAGGAGGTGAGGCTCCAAGGAGGTGAGGCTCCAAGGAGGTGAGGCTCCAAGGAGGTGAGGCTCCAAGGAGGTGAGGCTCCAAGGAGGTGAGGCTCCAAGGAGGTGAGGCTCCAAGGAGGTGAGGCTCCAAGGAGGTGAGGCTCCAAGGAGGTGAGGCTCGCAGGAGGTGAGGCTCGCAGGAGGTGAGGCTCGCAGGAGGTGAGGCTCGCAGGAGGTGAGGCTCGCAGGAGGTGAGGCTCCAAGGAGGTGAGGCTCCAAGGAGGTGAGGCTCCAAGGAGGTGAGGCTCCAAGGAGGTGAGGCTCCAAGGAGGTGAGGCTCCAAGGAGGTGAGGCTCCAAGGAGGTGAGGCTCCAAGGAGGTGAGGCTCCAAGGAGGTGAGGCTCCAAGGAGGTGAGGCTCCAAGGAGGTGAGGCTCCAAGGAGGTGAGGCTCCAAGGAGGTGAGGCTCCAAGGAGGTGAGGCTCCAAGGAGGTGAGGCTCCAAGGAGGTGAGGCTCCAAGGAGGTGAGGCTCCAAGGAGGTGAGGCTCCAAGGAGGTGAGGCTCCAAGGAGGTGAGGCTCCAAGGAGGTGAGGCTCCAAGGAGGTGAGGCTCCAAGGAGGTGAGGCTCCAAGGAGGTGAGGCTCCAAGGAGGTGAGGCTCCAAGGAGGTGAGGCTCCAAGGAGGTGAGGCTCGCAGGAGGTGAGGCTCGCAGGAGGTGAGGCTCGCAGGAGGTGAGGCTCGCAGGAGGTGAGGCTCGCAGGAGGTGAGGCTCGCAGGAGGTGAGGCTCGCAGGAGGTGAGGCTCCAAGGAGGTGAGGCTCCAAGGAGGTGAGGCTCCAAGGAGGTGAGGCTCCAAGGAGGTGAGGCTCCAAGGAGGTGAGGCTCCAAGGAGGTGAGGCTCCAAGGAGGTGAGGCTCCAAGGAGGTGAGGCTCCAAGGAGGTGAGGCTCCAAGGAGGTGAGGCTCCAAGGAGGTGAGGCTCCAAGGAGGTGAGGCTCCAAGGAGGTGAGGCTCCAAGGAGGTGAGGCTCCAAGGAGGTGAGGCTCCAAGGAGGTGAGGCTCCAAGGAGGTGAGGCTCCAAGGAGGTGAGGCTCCAAGGAGGTGAGGCTCCAAGGAGGTGAGGCTCCAAGGAGGTGAGGCTCCAAGGAGGTGAGGCTCCAAGGAGGTGAGGCTCCAAGGAGGTGAGGCTCCAAGGAGGTGAGGCTCCAAGGAGGTGAGGCTCCAAGGAGGTGAGGCTCCAAGGAGGTGAGGCTCCAAGGAGGTGAGGCTCCAAGGAGGTGAGGCTCCAAGGAGGTGAGGCTCCAAGGAGGTGAGGCTCCAAGGAGGTGAGGCTCCAAGGAGGTGAGGCTCCAAGGAGGTGAGGCTCCAAGGAGGTGAGGCTCCAAGGAGGTGAGGCTCCAAGGAGGTGAGGCTCCAAGGAGGTGAGGCTCCAAGGAGGTGAGGCTCCAAGGAGGTGAGGCTCCAAGGAGGTGAGGCTCCAAGGAGGTGAGGCTCCAAGGAGGTGAGGCTCCAAGGAGGTGAGGCTCCAAGGAGGTGGGGGGAAGGTGAGATAGGGCAGTGATGGTAGGAGGGGAGAGAAGTGGCAGGTGACAGGGACGTAGGGTGGTGCCCGCATCGATGCCTCTCGCACTGCCGTTGAGGCCATGGCGAAACAGAAGGTGCGCAAGAGGGGGGAAAGGGGGGAGGGGGTGCAGGGGAAAGAGGGGAAGTTGGGGGAGAGGTGAGATGGGGCAGTGACGGTGGGAGGTGAGAGAATGGGGTGTGAAAGGGAGAGGGGGGTTGGGGGGAGAAGCAACAAACATAGTGGAGTGGGGGAGGTGGGGTGAAGCTGCTCGCCGACTCCCTCGCCTCGCTGCGTGCTGCCCTCGCGCGCATTGATGCCTCTCGTCTTGCACTGCTTTGAGGCCATGGCGAAACAGCAGCAAGGTGCGGAGGGGTGAAAAGGGGGTTCGGGGGGAAAGAAAGGGGGGGAGGTAGTGGGGAGGTGGGATGGGGTAGTGACGGTAGGAGAGGAGAGAAGTGGGGGGTATTAGGAGGTGGGGTGCGGGGAACGCTACAAACACAGTGGAGTGGGGGGATTGAGGTGAATCTGCTCGCCGACTCCCTCGCCTCCCTGCGTGCTGCCCTTGTCTCTTGCATTGGTGCCTCTCGTCTCGCACTGCTGTTGAAGCCATGGCGAAACAGCAGGAAGGTGGGAAGAGGGGAGGGAAGAGTGGTGGGGTTGAGGTGGGAGAGGCCAGACTGTGGGGTGGGGGAGAGGATGGGGCAGCAAGCAAGCAGGATGGGTATGCTTGTGTGCTCTGTTTGAATCACTCGTGAGATTTCAGAAATGTTGTTCACGTACAGTCCGTTCTGATCATGCACCCTTGAGGCTCAGGCTCAGCTGTAGGCCATCTGTGCCCATCTGTGACCATGCTGGTGCCTCTGACCGGATTCGTGTACATTGCTGGCACTGTCCCCGAGCCCTTTCACGTGCTATTCCCAACCCTCGAACCCCTCTCTCTCTCTCCTGCACACCCCCCCCCCCCTCCTCCCCCACCCCACCAGGTGCGAGCATGCTGGTCCCTCTGACCGGATCAATGTACATCGCTGGCACGGTCGCTGAGCCCTCCCACGTGCTCATTGCTGTCAGACCCCCTTTGACTCAACGTCCCCCTCCCCGCTGTCGCATTCCTCACCCCACCCCAGGTCAGAGCATGCTGGTCCCCCTAACCGGCTCAATGTACATCGCTGGCACGGTCGCTGAACCCTCCCACGTGCTCATTGGTGTCAGACCCCCTTGACTCAACGTCCAACTCCGCTCTCTCGCATTCCTCACCCCACCCCATTACAGGTCAGAGCATGCTGGTGCCCTTGACCGGCTCAATGTACATCGCTGGCACGGTCGCTGAGCCCTCGCACGTGCTCATTGATGTCTGTTATTGAGGCTCACCTGTAGGCCATCTGTGTTATCATCCCCCCCCCACCCCCTTCTCTCCCGTCTCGCCCCAACACTGCAGGTCAGAGCATGCTGGTGCCCTTGACCGGTTCAATGTACATCGCTGGCACGGTCGCAGAGCCCTCCCACGTGCTCATTGACGTCGGCGCCGGCTACTATATCGAGGTGATTATATTGAGGTGTTTGTATCTAGGTGACAATATCAAGGGGATTATAGCAAGGTCGCTGTAGCAAGGTGACCATCTTGTATATCGAGGTGACCTGTCTCGAGGTGATTATATCGAGGTGACTGTGTCAGGGTGATTCTATCATCAAGGTTCACTGTGTCGAGGTGGCCTAAGCCCTGCTGCATATCCATGCACAGCATCTCGCATCCTCTTCCCCCCCCCTCTGTGTCAACTTCCTCATAACACCATCTCGCATTACTCCGCGTGCTTTGGACTTGCTCATCCCATGTGCATGGGGTGCATGGGGTGCATGGGCCGCATGGGGCGCATGAGGTGTATGTATGGGGCGCATGGGGCGCATGGGGTGCATGTGGTGCATGGGGCGCATGGGGTGCATGGGTGGCGCATGCTGCGCATGGGTTGGATGGGGTTCATGCTGTCATGTGTATCACGGTGTGTTGCGCTGCACTGCCTGCCTGGGTGACCCACGTGTTATGTGCATTGCATGCGGGGCGGGGCGGTAGCAGAAGTCAGTGGAGGAGGCGATGGGGTACTGCATGCGCAAGGCGGAGCTCCTTAGAGCCAACCACGACAAGTTCAGCGAGGTGCGACCCCCCCCCCCCCCCCCCTCCCGGTTTCCATGCATGCTCCTAACCCCCCTTCCCTTTCCTGTGCATGCCGGCTTCCATGCATGCGCAAGGCAGAGCGTCTTAGAGCCAACCATGACAAGTTCAGTGAGGTGCGGCCCTTCCTTTCCCTCCCCCCCATGTGTGCTGCACGCCCTCCCACCCTTGCCATGCTGCATGCCTTGCTTGCACACCCCACCCCACCGACCCCACCCCACGCTTCTCGTCCCCCACCTTGTGTTCTAAGCAGCAGGCAGTGGCGTGCTCCAAGCAGCGGCCACCGGAGGAGGTGGTGCTTCACCCAACCACACCCTACTGCACAGCAATTCACCACTCCCCACCCCACCCATGGCAGGTTGTGCGTGCCAAGAGGCAGCTACTGGAGGAGGTGACGATGGTGTTGCAGGCCAACCACACCCAACCCCACTGCACCCCATTTACCGCTCCCCACCGCACTCCACCCATCTCTGAGCAGGTGGCGCGCAGCAAGAGGCAGCTGCTGGAGGAGGTGACGATGGTGCTGCAGGCGAAGGTGAGGGCAGCAGTGCAGCAGCAGGGCGGGGGAGCAGCAGGTGCCGCTGCAGCGGGGGCAGCACAGGCAGGCAGGATACAGGCAGCTGCCTCGTGAGCTGCGAGCTGCATGCCGGGTCCTGCCTGCGCGCCAAGCATGCTGCCGTGCGCCGTTGCCTGATGGCATGTCGTTGAATCATTTTGGGTCAAGTGCACACATGGCGCCAATTCGGTTTGCCTGTTAGCAAGGCATGGGTCTGCAGCTGATGCACTTGCTCCTCGAGATGTAGGCAGTCCCAGCTGGAGCAAACATTACCTAGTGAACCCCCTGCTTTTGTAAGAATAGCTGAATGCAGTGGTACCGTAAACTGATTCTAGAGTGCACTTGAACTTCTGGACTTGAATATCTTACATCACAAGGACTTGTACCCTTCGTAACTTGCTCCATTATGCAGGCACGGCTCTGTATGTTCAACCATCTGTCCTTTTTAAGATAAGCCAGCTTCTGGTTTGAGCAGACAATGCGTGGAGTGTTCTAAGCCGCATCAAAACCGAATGCAAATGGCAAAAGACAAGATATGCCTACAGAACTTACAGCACCCATATCATGCACTTGTGGCTCCAAACATGAAGCTGCATTCACTTGCTCCTAGCTCAGGCAGCTGTTGCTGTGACCCGACAGCGTGCCCCTGCACCTGTCTTGTAATGATACATATCCAATTGCTCTCCAAAGGGAACCTAGCTCAGCCGGCTGGTGATGTGAGCTGAGAGCGTGCGCTTGTGCCGGGTAATTGGAGCAGCAAACGACCCGGCATCACTAGCCTCCTGCACATCCAGCAGGCGGGGTTTCCACATGACAGCTTATCCGCCATGAAGTATTGCTCCTAACTCAGCCAGCTGGTGATGTGAGCCGATAGCGTGCGTTTGTGCCGTGTGATCGGAGCAGCAAACGACCCGGCATCACTCGCCTCCTGCACATCCGGCAGTCCTGGCTTCCACATCACGGCACGCCGCTCCTCCTTGCCCGCTGTGGCGGTGGACCAGTTGAACAGGCACTCCCCGTTCAGCACCTCCACTCTCCGCCTGAACGCCGCCACCGCCGCCTGCCACTCTACTTCCTCCGCTGCTGCTGCTCCACCCGGCGTGCCGTGCACGGCCCTGCCGCCGCTGCTGCTGTTGCTGCCCACCAAGCTGTCGTCCACGGCTCGCCTGGGCCTGGCAGGGCGGGAGGGGGCGTCCAGGGAGATGGCGTGCAGCAGGCGCTTCAAAGGGCTGCGGTCGCGGTCACTGGCGTGGTTCGGATTGACGCCCTCCTCCTTGGGATTGTCGCCCTCACTGCCCTTGCCGTCCAGAGATATAGCGTGCAGCAAGCGCCTCAGTGGGCTGCGTTCTCGCCCTCTGCCCTCGCCACCACTGTCTTGCTTCGGCTTGGCGCCCTCCTTAGGCTTGTCACGTGCCTTGCGCGTTAGTTCACTACGTGCCTCCTCCCTGCCCCGCTGCTGCTGCTCCTGCGACTGCTCCTGCTGCCCTTGCTGCTGCTCCTGTCCCTGCTGCCCCTGCGTCGCCCACTCCCTCTCATCACCATCACACCACATCTCTGTGTCCATCTCTCCCCTTCCTTCCTCATCACTCACAGCACGAGGGCTCACAGGGCCACCGCTCATGGAGGCCCCATGGTAACGCCCGTGCGCGTCACCGTGAGGAGGAGAGCGGTGTGAGGGGACGGCAGCGTGAGGGGGAGAGTGCTGCGCGGGGAGGGCAGCAGCGGCACGGGGCTGGGAAGGAGGAGGGGAAGAGTGGGCGGGCCTGGTGAGAAAGAGCACGGGCGTGGGGGGGTGCAGCATGGGGCGGTGGGGTTCAGGGTGCTGCCAGGTATTCTCTCCCTGGTCAAACGCCATGCGCGGCGGGCTGAAACTGCTTCCCCTGGGCACAGCACAGGGCGGCCGCGCAAGGTCAGGGCTGCGCTGCCCCTCCGCCCTCCCCCCCACAGGGCTGCGCCCTCTCTGCGGACTCCTCCCCCTTAGGGGGCTCCGCCCCCTTAAGGGGCTCCTCCTCCCCTTGAGCGGACTCAGCTGCCTCATCCTCTCCACCAGTGCTTCCGCCCACCCCTGCTCGCCCTTATCCCCCGCCTTCCCCTCGCCCCACATCTCTCCCCCCTCCTCCTCCCCGCTGCCCCTCCCCCTGCCCCCCTCCGCCATGCCCAGCACCCTCTGCGCGCCAATGAGCGCCTCAACCGCGTCCAGCGCCGCCGCTCCCCCCACGCCCTCCGCGCTCGAGTGCCTGCGCCCGTGGCTGCGCCTCAGCGGACTGCTCCCCGCCCCCGCCCCCGCCCCCCCCACTGCGACATGCGCCACTGCGCCCTCCCCGCCCGTGGTTCTTGGCTTCAGCGCGCTGGCGCATGGCGGCGCGGCAGCCTTCCCGCATGACGCGGCCAGGGACCCGCGCAAGGGACTCGCGCGCGCGCTGCCATACGGCGTCCCGTGCGCGCTCCCCTGCGGAGTCACATGCGCGCTGCGCCATCGCCCATCCCCCGCCTTCCCCCCGACCTCTTCTTCCCCCCACGCCTCTCCCGCCGCGAGCCCCGCCGCGAGCCCCCCGATCTCATCCGGACTGCCGCTAAGCGATTTGCACGGGCGGTGCATGCCGCGCCTGGACCGCCGCAGCGCCGGCACCATCAGCCGCCCGGGGGAAGCCGCCAGCCCCGCGTGCAGCCCATCCCCCACGTGGCTTTCCCCCGTCTTCCCGTTCGGCGCCGTCCCGCCTGTCTCTCCCGCACGCCGCCTGCTCGCCCCGCTATCCGCATGTGCGGGGGCATATGCGCCTGTGGCGAAGGGCGCTGCAGCGGCGCCGGCGGTGATGCGGGCGTGTGGCGGAGAGGCGTCGGGGGAAAGGTCGGGGAGCGCGCTGGTGCTGTGATTGACGCGATGGCGGGGCTTCGCGAAAATAGTGACGCGGGGCGGGGACCGCGCGGGCACGTGCGCCAGTGGCGGAACGGCAGAGTGCGGATGCGCGGAGGGCGGAGATAAATTGCGCTGAAGGGGGGCGAGGAGAGGGGGAGAGCGGGCGGGAGCGGAGTTAGCGAGAGTGTGGCGCGCGCTCGTCTCGCATTGACTGAAAGCAAACGGCGGTGCGCATAGCGCGAGAAGTAGCGTAAGATGCTGATTCGCAATCCTCAATTTGTTCGCTTCCACTGCGTTTAGATCAAAACTCCATTAACATGGTTCGTAAAGTGTCTAGAAACAACCCCATGGTTCTTTCCAATACTCGATTAACATTTAACAGCCCGTAACAACAAGACTTGCGGCGCCCGCTCGTGTCCTTACCTCGTCCCTTTCGTTGGCGGAAGGTGTTCTGCGCAAATCCCGCGGAGGCTTCCGCCCCGCCGTCCCCCCATCATCCACATGGGCAGGCTCATCTCCGCTCGCGATTCCGCTCTTCGCTGATGCCTTTCGCACGAGGTGGTAACACCTCCCCGGTTTGAGGATCCGCCCGGGCGGCAGCGGCCCCTCGCGCTTGGCGAAAAGCGACGAGCTGCTGGCGTCGGCGGGCGAAAAGACCGCGTGGTGCGGGTAATGGCGCACGACGCTCTCGACGTAGACGGGGCCCATCAGCACGTCGACGATCGTGTCGCCCATCTTCAACACAACTTTGTCTTTTAGCGCCATGCTCGGCGCGCTGCCTTGGGTAGAGTATAATTTTAATACGCTATGCAATGGTCAAGTGCGGGCAGGAAGGGAATCATTGAACATAGATGACTGACTTGCAAGAAAAACGGAGCAAGACTGGAGCAGGTAAGAGTTGAGTAAGATGGTTTTGTACGAGGAGGTAACAGCGAGCGTGTTTTTGCCAAGAGATTTGACACGGAGGGGGGGACAAACAAGTCGACCACTGACATGAGAGGAGACTCACTAGGGAGGGAGGGTGGATGGGGGGCAGGGCTGTCGATTGGTTTGGAGCCAGAACTTGAGAGGCTGAGGTGCCCCAAAAGTTGCCCTGAAATTTACGGGCTGAGAGCTAACCTAGCACCTGAAACCAGGGCTACCAGCTTTCTAGCACTTTCGCTAAGGGAAAACCTACATCTATTCAAGCAATAGGCTGAGGTACGAAACATGTCGATGGATTTGACTGGGATGGGAAAAGGAAGGAAGTGGGGTAGTGGCTAGGAGGAGGTGGGGTGACGGGTGAGAGAATGGGAGGGAGGGAGGTATAGTATGGGACATAAGGGCAAGCCGCGGGATCTGCACTTGAAATCCGGGTTAGCCCACAACCATCACTTTACGGGGACGGGCTGCGCTCAAAGCCAACCCTTAAAATTCGGAAGCTAGGCCGAACACAACCCTTAATGTTCAGGGCATTAAGGGCATTTGCCCTTGAATCGTCAGCCCTGATGGGGGGTCTGGTGGGGTGGGATGACGCGTCCATCCATCCACTTCAGGACATGGAGCCGAGCGGCTGGGTGGGTGGATGGATGGAACATGGAACATGAACATGGCAGGGCATGACGACGGCTGATGCTCTGACTCGGACCGCGGCAATTTCGCCAGCGGCGCTCGGCAATTTTGCCAGCTCTTCGGCTGTCGTGTGTCGCACGTGGATCGCAATTCCGGCCGGGTGCAGGTGGGGTGGTTACTTTGCGAACGACACGGAGGAACATTCGGATCGTCCAGACAAACATTCGCTTAGTGTAGCTGGGAGCCAATCATGGGAGCCGTCTGTTGCCAAGCACAGTAACACGCGTCGTTACCAAATAAACACGGCGGCTCGAGGCGGATTGCTGCTGATTGAAAATGGTTGACGACGGCCATGGCAGGGTGAAAACGTCAAGTCAATGAAACAACGCCTTGCATACTTCCACACTGGAACTAGCGTTTCAGGAATAAGTTATAATGGTTCAGTACAAGACCTTACTTTTAGAATCCAGAGCCATTTCCTCTCCAACATATCTATTCGCTTTTTACCAATAGACAACCCTATCGAGACTACCAGCAGAACTTCGCTTGTGGCTGTCAAGTTCCTGCATGCCTGTCAAGGGAAATGGTAGGGGGAACTTAGTCAATGAGGCCGGAAAGAAATGAAATTCACCAAACCTAGCATAAAATGAAGGGTGAATGGCATCGTTGAGGAAAGAGTGGCTGGGGAAGAGAAAATGCGGCAAGGGGTGACTTGACCCAATAGATTAAGAAGCAATTGGGGTGGGTGGGATGTGCCTGGTGCATGGTGGTGTGAGGGCAACAGAGCAGCGACCTGCATTCCAGGAGCAGCCAGGCTGGCAGACGTTGGTGTGGCTGCCCTCATAAGCGCGTGGGGCGGCAGACTGCCACGTCAGCGACAGGCAGACGCCCCACCCGCGGCAATTCAGGGAGCCATGCCCAAGGGGTGTGTGTTAGTGTGACAGGGGGTTGTGCAGTGCATGCACACACCAAATGCCACTCACTCACATGCCATGATGGTCTGCTAGGTGTCCGGGCTTCGTCGCAGCAGTGACCCGTTGCAAGGGGCATGCGCATCACAAGCTGTCTTATCATCTGTGAGTGCAGCGCCCTCCACCTGTAAACCATGGTGCTTCCGGCCTCCTTGCCACTGGAAATGGCCCCTTAACCTGCACATGGCACCTTAACCTGCACATGGCACCTTAACCTGCACATGCATCAATACCGGGACAGAATGAACACAAAACAGTGCAAGCGGTTGTGGTTTGACATGCTAGCAGGCTCAATGAAATCCTAAGCCGCATGGCTGCACGGCATGTGATCATGGCAGCATGTGATCATGGCAGCATGTGAGGGGTGCATAAAAGACAAGAGCCCATGACAGAGATGGACCGCCATGGCATGGCGGCACGAGGGCAGCCATGGCCACTGCGGGTCACTCGAGGCTCCTGTCGCTCCCACCCGCCTGCAGGGCAGCGCTGTAGGCACCCTTCACTACAAGCACAGCCAGTAGGTTGAGCTGCGCTTTGAAGACATAAGGCGCCACGTGCAGTGAGATGTACAGCGAATGCGGACACGCAGCAGCAGGTGACAGTGCTAGTGCATTGTGTTCACATCCCCATGCCACACATCCCCATGCCACACATCCCCTAAAAGCCTTGCTACTCACAGGTAATGATGATGGTGACGATGATGATGACGTCACTGTGACGCCACTGTGACGCCAGCAGGACCCCATCATGAACGACGGACGCGGACGGACGTCCGCACCGCGGGAGGCTCGGCAGCATGTTAGGCTCGGCACCACGGCAGGCTTGGCAGCATGGCAGGCTCGGTGACAGGCCTGCAGGCAACGAGAGGAGCATGCAAAGGGCGGCGAATGAGGAATGGTGGCGCTTGTTCGAACGCAGATAAGAAACTATCAGGGTTTTTAAGGTTTCTCAGACAGCACATCGGAGATGTTCCCAAGGCAGCAATGGTGCGAGTCATTAAAACGACCCGCACCTCTGGGCTGCTTTGAGGAATCAATCGAATCAAATTTTATCAAAAAAAATCGGATCGGATTGAGCAATTTGGGCATCCTGAACATAAGGCGTGGCAGGGAGACAACGCTGCTGCCACGCCTCGGAAAGAGTAATGCCGTGGAACCACCACCATCCCCTCGCTACCCCATCAGCACCAGCAGCCCCATCACCATCATCACCCCACTCCACAACCACCACCAAGCCACCGATACACAGCATATGCAAGCGGCGCAACATGGGTTGAGCGATAATTGACAAGAGGTGCGTGGGGAGTGGGGAGAGGGGAGAGGGGAGAGGGGAGAGGGGAGTGGGGATAGGGGAGTGGGGAGTGGGGAGTGGGGAGCGGGGAGCGGGGAGCGGGGAGTGGGGAGTGGGGAGTGGGGAGTGGGGAGCGGGAGTGGGGAGTGGGGAGCGGGGAATGGGGTGTGAAGCGGCAAATTGCCGAAATGGAGCGCGAAGCGGTCATTGATACAAGGACAGCAGCACGCCACGCACCTGCGCCGCTACCGAGCATTGCTCCACGGACCGTTAAGACAAGGCAGCACGGCACGGCTTGAATCCAACGAGGTAGGTGCGACTTTGAGGCGACTCAAAGAGAGCCACGAGACGAGGCGAGGCGCGCCATGCGTGGAATCGGCGACGGCCGCCAAGATCGACGGCCCGGATCGACGAGTGAGCTGCAGCCAGCAGAGCACCGACCGCGCACGCCACCAGTCGGATCCCACGTGCCATCCACGTGGCTCCCGCGTGGATCCACGCGGCTCCTACGCGGAAAAGACTCTCACGTGGCTCCTGCAGTTCAAGCGATCGATGATTCGAGCCTTCCATGCTCCTGCCAGTTGCGCGTTGTAATGGGGCAGGGAGGAAGAGCGAAAAGAGCAACAGGATAAGCCAATGGCGACCGTGAGGAGGCGCGGAAATTACCGATGCAGGAGGCGCAAAGGGAGCAGACGGCGCAAAGGGAGCAGACGGCGCAAAGTGCGCAGAGGGCGCAGATGGCGGAACGGGGAATGTCCGCTAGCCCCATGACCGCGAATCCCAATGGGGGGGAATGCGGAAAAGGGAGGGGACGCGGAGGGACGATGTGGCGTCGGGTTACGGGGAGAGGGGCACCTGATAGGCCCCACTCCTGAAAAGTCGACGCGGACAAACCAAGCCCTTTGAAACGTGTAAGGGGTCAATTGTGGGGAGTGGGTTAGGAGGAAAGTGATGTACGGAGAGGGTTGCGGGACGAGGGTTCAGGGGAAAGGGTTGGGCGAGGGCACTGATAGGAACCACTGCTGAAAAGTCGACGCGGGCAAAGCAAAGCTTTGAGCGGGGCGAGACGAACGATAGGCATTGGGAGGGGTGGGGTCGGGTGGGGTCGGGTGGGGGTGAGTTCGGGGAGAGGAATGAAAGGTATGGAGGAGTTGTGCAGGAGAATCAACGCGGTCGCACCTAGGAGCTGACGGCTGGCCGTTTGTCCGCCGGCTAGTATCAGCCGGTTTTGTGTCGGTGGTTGTGTGTCAGCCGACTAGTTTCCGCCGGCTAGTGTTGGCCGGCTTGTGATGGCCGGGTGAGAAGCTGGAGGGAGGGGGAGAGAAGCGGGAAGAGAAGCGGGGAGAGAGGCGGGGAGAGAGGCGGGGAGAGAGGCGGGGAGAGAAGCGGGGAGAGAAGCGGGCAGATAATTGGAGAGGCGAAGGGGAAGGGAAGGGAGATTGAGAAAGGCGGCACGGGAATGCTCCGTTTGCAGCCGAGACATGCGACTGATCGTTGAATGCGACAACACACCACAACTGCGAAAGAGAACAGTGCGCGTGAAGAATCATAGTAATGCTCTGCGGAGAGAGAGACGTCATTGCATAGGTGGGCTGCTCCTGCATTAGAGAGATTCCCATTAATTCCGTATTTTGGATCGGTCTCTACTCCCTTGGGAGTTCCGATGTCCCTACGGCATCATCACGTGCAGGAAAGTGGTGCGACAAGCTGACGCATGCAAGAAAGTGGGCACACACACGGCAAGACGTCAGACTTGCCAAACCAACTGAATGCCATAGCATTGCCAATAAGAGCGCACTGTATTGCTCTGCGGGTTGATGGGATTGCACTGCAGTGTGCCTCCCCCCAAGCAGGCCCCGCGCACGAGTTTCCGCCCGCGCCCCAGAAGAGGCGCGCGGCGGAAGCGGGGAGCGCAAGGGGGGGAGCGGCGATGCCGCGTGCGGAAGCACGAGGCATGCGCGAGTGCGTCGGTATGCGCACGGTTCAAATCCACGCTGGCACCGATGAATGCATGCCGCGTGGAAGAACATCCGTGCGCTGACGTGGCACTGCATGGTGCGAGCAGGGCGGCAGTGACCCTCCGTTCAGGACAGCGTTCCACAATACGGCCTCAGACTAATTATCGCGGCAATAAGGACTCGCCTTATCTCTCTTATGGCCTCACCTCAATTCATTCAGCAGCGCCACGCAGCAGAGCGACGCGCGGAGATGAAAGCGCGGTCAAGGAAAAGCGCGCCACGAGAACCTGCACTCGAAATTGACAGAGCGAGAGGGAAAGAGCGAACGAGATCCGACGGGGAAGGCGTTTTAGTCACACTCAGCGCAGGCATGAGTACGAATCTTGATGAGATTTGTATTATGATGAGGCATGAGATTGTGGCTCTGCGCGTCCTGTAGGGTGACTCGATATCATAAGCATTTTTGCAGTCTAGTTTCGTTATGAGCACCTCCGCATTGAGGCTGGCGCGACGGGGAATCGACGCGCGGCGGGCGAGCTCGCGCGGTGGCGGCGATGCAGAGGCGGCCTCCGAATCGCCGCAACCGGGGCTCCGCCCGCGCACGTCGCTGCGCCAGCCCAAGCAGGGAGGCGGCGGGCGCTCTTCGCGCAGCGATACGGCCGCCACCCAATCGAGCCGCGCCGGCGCCGCACCCGAGGGTACGGCACGGCCAGCTTCGAGCGGCGGCTCTAGAAATCGCTGCGCGAAAACAGGTCTGAGCTTTCCATCGTGCGAGTCACCGATAGCGGCAGTGTAAAGCGGCGGGAAAAAGAGGATACTCCGCTGAAAGCGTGCGACGCGGCAGTCATCAGATCTTCGAGCTTCGCGGAAACAGAGCGAAATTAGAAGTCGCCATGTGCAGAAAAACACACCTTGCTGCCATCGTCTTTAGGCCTGGGGACGCGGCAACTCACGAGCCTTGAACGGCCGCACACAGCCGAGTGGTTTCGTTCCGGCTGCACGCATCAGAAGCCCACTCGTGCGCAGACGAAAACCGCTGGGTGCGGAGAAGCACCGCGATTCCGTGGAAAACCAATGACACGCCATTGGAGCAACGTGTGAGACAGAAATGAAGTGAGCCGCAGCGGATGATGCCTGACGAGGAACCGGAGTGTGCTGCTGCTGTGATGGTGAAACAGGGCTTGCGCAACCTACTTTCGCCTCCCCCAGCCTTCTTCCAGCCGAAAAACAAAGAACTGATGAGTCCTCGAAGGACCAGAGCAGCACAGAAAACAGATCCCAAGGGTCTGCGGTGGCTTCCCACCAGATTTGAAAGCGGTGTAGAAAGCATCCCGTGATTGAGAAACTTTGCAACTTTATAAAACTGAAATAACAGAAAGTGGAAGCGGATGTCAATGGCTCTATGTACAAGGAACTAAGAAGCCTTAGCGTGTCCCTACAGTAAAATCAACTATACAGTAAGCATGCAACCTACTACAGCTTCTCAAATTTATTCATGAATCACCTTCCCCCTTGTCCTTGCTCCCTCCAATAACTCCCCTCACCTTCTCCCTCCCCCCGTCCCGCCTCCCCCTCCCCTGCCTCCTTCCTCTCCCGAATCCCCTCCACCTGCCACGTCATGCAGCTCAGCACCGTCCCTGTTGGATCCGCTGACATCATCAGTGACACCGTTCCTGGCATAAGAATCTACTGCTGACGTGGCAGCGGGAGGGCCATCAGCAGCAGGGGGTGGGAGGGCAGCAGCAGCTGCAGAAACTGCTGAGTCCAAAGCAGTAAGTGCTGGGACGATAGGGGTGGGTGAGGGGAGGATACGGGTGGGTGAGGGGAGGATAGGGGTGGGTAAGAGGAAGACAGGGATATGTCAAGGAACAGTAAGCATGCACTGCCTGCTAGCAAGCATAATCAACTGTAGTCAAACCTCATCACCATAGTCAAACCTCATCACCATAGTCAAACCTCATCACCATAGTCAAACCTCATCACCATAGTCAAACCTCATCACCATAGTCAAACCTCATCACCATAGTCAAACCTCATCACCATAGTCAAACCTCATCACCATAGTCAAACCTCATCACCATAGTCAAACCTCATCACCATAGTCAAACCTCATCACCATAGTCAGACCTCATCACCATAGTCAAACCTCATCACCATAGTCAAACCTCATCAACATAAGCCAACACCCCAATCGTCATCACCAACACTCAACAAGCACGGAAATGGATGCCGTTTGCTCATGGTTATGGCATCGCTGCCCAGATCTGTCTCATTCTGCCTACTCCAATCACAGGGTACTGAACATGCGTTCCACACCCATGCATGTTCCTGCAGGGAAATAGCTGCCCAAAGCACCTATCCCAGTAGTACCTGCCCCAGCAGTACCTGCCCTGGTAGTACCTGCCCTAGTTGCAGACTGGGCCATGCGTGCTGCAGCAGAGAGCTCCTCCTGATGTGCGTGGAACCATGACGCCTGAGGGAGGAAGTGGGGAAGATGGGGCGATTAGGGGGAGGTTTCTCGAGAACAGGAAGCAACTTAACGTGCAATTGGGTATGTGTCCTTGGATTGGCGTTCATACTCTGCTGACAGGAATTTGGTGGGTAAAGGGGGACAACATGTTAGAGCCAAGATTGCCATACCATGCAGCGGTGCATGCTCATCTTAACATGTGATAAGCTAATAAAGGCATACCATGCAGCGGTCGATGCTAACAGGTGTCCCGTCAATGTGCCGCCGGTGTTATCGCAGCAGCAAGTTGGTCGGTCGCTACCTCATTTATGCAGCAGCCTAGCAGCAGCACGTACCATGCAACGGTCGATGCTAACAAGCGCCCCGTCAATGTGCCGACGGTAGCGCAGCAGCACAGGCCTCAAGTGGCTAGCGTACAGCCGCCCTGCACCCTGTGGTGTTGTGCGGTGGGGCATGGTTGGTGGTATGGTGAAATGGTTAACAGTGGTGTGATATGGTGGCATGATGAGACACGATGCATGGTAGTATGGCGTCAAATGGCAAGATGGCAGAACAGCATGATGGCAGGATAACAGTCACACGGGGATGCCAGTTGCATGGCAAATTATAATCCAGTAACCCGCTGCCCTTTACATGCAAGGTCGGGATAACGGAGCGGGACCAGAGGATCACCAGAGGAACCCTGGAGGAGATGTTGTACTACTTCGCGCGGTGCACCTCGGCGTGCAGCAAGGCCAGAGTGCTGTCGAATGTAGCCACCCCCCTCCCATTCCGCTCCCCTGCTCGCTCCATCGTTTGTGGTTTGTTATGAACGCTTAATCTACTTACAGACGCTCATTGCGCTGCCCGCCAATGTCTATCTGTCGAAGAACGTGGTCCGTAAAATCCCGCTCGACCGACTGGGGGACCACAAAGCAGTGCGGTCCTCCAGTCGGTCGAGCAGGATTTTACGGATGACGTTCTTCGACAGATCGACATTGGCGGGCAGCACGATGAGCACATGTGAGTAAATCACGCGTTCAGAACAACACCTCAAACGACGGAGCGAGACAGGCGGGGAGCGGGGTGGCTACCTTCGACAGCGCTCTGGCCTTGCTGCACGCCGAGGTGCACTACGCGAAGTGAAACAACATGTCCTCCAAATTGCTCCCTACACCGACGGAAGTAGGACGGAGTGTTGCATGGGTGGAGCAAGAGCAGTTCTAGCAAAGAAGAATGCAGACGACATTGTACAAGAAATAAACACAGGAAGGTGCAGCCATAAAATGGCAAGTGCCTGAGAGGGCAAAGATGAGTGAAGACGAAAACTTTGGAAGTGCAGACAGAAATAGGTGGAGGGTAGGTGAAGTGTAAGAAAGGAAAGAGAAGGGGAAGTAAGAAGGGAAAGTAAATCAAGACGCAAGGAAGTGAGAGGGCAGAGAGAAGAGAAGTACCGTGGCAGGGCGGGAGGAGGAGGTGGAGGGCAGCTGCAACCAGAGCAGCAGGAGCAGCTTGATGTGCTGGTAGAAGGGCAGCCTGGGGGGGAGATTGGGGGGAGCAGGTGGGAAGAGGTGGCGTAAGGAAGGCGTAATGTGCTTGTATTGAGGCATGTAGAAAAGGAGGTGGAGGCAAGCTACAGCCAGAGCAAGAGGACCAGCTTCAAACGCTGGTAGAAGGGTAGCCTGGGGGGGGAAGGAGAGGGGGGAGGAAGAAGCAAAGGCCATGGCAGCAGGAGCAAGCCAGGCCATATGCACATATTGGGGAATGCAGCAGCAGCAGGAGTATGGATGTGGTGGTAGAACGGTAGCCTGGGGAGGGGAGAGGGCGAGGGGGGTTAAAGGCAAGGAAGAAGCGGAAGGCGTGATATGGTGGGAACGGAAGACGAGGAGGGCATAGGATGCTTGTACCAGCGTAAGGAGCCGTGGAAAGGGGGAGGGGGAGGAGGGACGGAAGGGGGTGGTGAGGGATGGGAAGGGGGGTGCGAGAGTGGTGGAGCATCGAATTCCACACAGTGATTACACATAGAATGAGGCAGGAAGAAGTGGCGGAGTAAAAGAATTGGAGGCGGGAGAAGGGGGGGGTGTTGGGAAGAGAAACGACAAGAGGCGAGGGGAATGAAGAGGGTGATGTGAATGAGGGAAGTGGTCAAACGAGGTACCGAAGAGGTATGGGCGTATGACTCACCATGATATGATCCTGTCGGTGATTGTCTCCACTACCCGAAAGCAACCATACACTGCCATGCATGCCATCATGCCATCATTGCCATTCAAGCCATCAAGATGCATGTCACCCATGCCATGATGTAGTGCCATGTTTGTGATTATGCACAAGGAAAGAAGAGTCGCATTTGGCGCAGTGGCATGAAATGTCATGGGAGGTAAGCAGTTGCAACTGCAACTGAAACTTGCAACTGCTACTGCTACTGCTACTGCTAATGCATGAGAGGGCCACATAGAGGGACACTAACTAGCGCCCCCATCCTCACCACTCACCGCACCATCCTCACCACTCACCGCACCATCCTCACCACTCACCGCACCATCCTCACCACTCACCGCACCATCCTCACCACTCACCCCACCATCCTCACCACTCACCCCACCATCCTCACCACTCACCCCACCATCCTCACCACTCACCCCACCATCCTCACCACTCACCCCACCATCCTCACTGCTCACCTCACCACCCTCACTACTACCCCACCACCCTCACCACTCACCCGACCAGTACGCAAGGCATCTGTTCCGATCCGCCTGAGAGCCCTCCTCAATGGCCTTGAATGAACGGAAGACCGGAAAGCCCACGCCCACCACCAGACTGGTGAAAGGTGGGAGGGGGTAGTGGAGGGGAGGGAGGGGAACAAGGGTCCTGAGAACCCTCCTTAATAGCCTTGAACGAGCTGAAGACGGGAAAGGCCCACGCACACCAGCAGACTGTTAGTGCTTGGGGTGAAAGGGATTAGAAAAACGGAGGGAGGTGAAGATACTGGGATCCCTCCTTGATGACAAGAATGGCTTGACGGGAAGAGAAACGAAAATAAAAGGTTAGAAGTGGGGGGAGTTATGAGAGAGAGGAGGGCCAAAGGAGAGAGGAGAAATCATGATTGGCGGCAACAGGAGGAGACATCAAAGGAGGCGAGTTGGAAGGAGAAGACGCGGAAGGCCAGAGCAAGGAGGAAGGGTGGGGCGGGGGGAGGAGATTCGTACTTGGCGGCTCGGATGACGATGGATGATGAACTGGCGGCTAGCAGAATCTGAAGACCCACCTGGCGGGGAGAGAAAGGGGGAGGAGGGCAAGAGAACAGAGGGCAGCACAGGAGGCGAGCATTGGTGTTGGCATTGGCAGATCGGATGATGATGGATGATGAACTAGCTGCCAGGAAAATCTGAAGGTCCATCTGCAGGGGGGTGAGGGAAGAGAGGGCGGCACAGAAGGCGAGGGTTGGCACAGCTCAGACGATGAATGATGATGAACTGGCCGCCAGGAGAATCTGAAGTCCCACCTGGATGGAGAGAGGACGGGAGGAGGGAATGTGGGTAGGGTAAGACTGGGATGAGGGAGCAGGAGAGGGGACGGGAGAAGGGAGCAAGGTTGAGGACGCTAGGAGGCACATGGGTAAGAATGGGAGGATGCGAGATGGAAGGGGAGATGAGGAATGGGGGTAGGGAAGGGATGGGAAGTTGCCTTCTTGCACGCTGTTTCTTGCCTAGCCCCTATCTCACTCGTTCCCGGTCACCCTACCGCTGCGTCTTACCCCTCCTCCTTGCAGCGGTACACCTGAGGGCCATCGGCGCGTTTCATCCTACTCCTGTATTTTCCTCCCCACCCCCACCTCCATCCCCCTCCCCCTCACCCTTCCCGTACGTCTTACCCCTCTTCCTTGCAGCGGTACACCCAAGCAGGGCCATCGGCGCGCTTCATCGTGCTCTTGCGATTTTCCCCCCACACCCATCCTTCCCCCCCCTGCCTTCCCCCTCACCCTACCCCTGCGACTTACCCCTCCTCCTTGCAGCGGTAAACCCGAGCTGAACAGGGCCATCGGCGCGCTGCTAGCTTTTAAAAATGTTGCTTTTGTCGACAGGGACTGCTGCTGGCGACAGGGATTGCTGTTGCTGCTGTGAACAGGTGTCTGTGAGCGACAGGAACTATTGCTTCTGGCGTCCGAGAGGGTCACTACGGGCAGAACTAGCTAGCAACAGGGACTGCTGCTGGCGACGGGGACTGCTGCTGCTGCTGCTGTGAACAGGTGTCGCTGTGAGCGTCAGGAAGTGTTGCTTCTGGCGTCCAAAAGCGTCACTGCTGACGTCAGGCAGTGCTGCTGCTGGCGTCAGGCAGTGCTGCTGCTGGCGTCAGAGGTCACGGCCGCGCGCTCGCACGTTTTCTCCGCGCAACGGATGCCCGCGAAAGCAGCTTATAGCGAGACAAGCAGCAGATCGTATGACGATAAGAATGGTCTGCAACGTCCGTAACAACGACGGCTCAGCTAGGAGCGCTTAGCCCACGTTGTTGGTGGCTGACGCGATTACCAGACGCGCGAGCTTCGCAAGTCTAAACCCGCTAACCTCATCTTACGAACAAATGAAGCACGTGGATGGCGGATTGTTCACGGAGTAACCGAGAGAGCCTCAACGTAGCGCCATGCTCAGGTCTACAAGCTATGGTGGAGCTTCGGGAACTGCAACTCTGCGTATGTCGGAATCTGGAATTCTGTATACGCGCTATAAGCATCGCTAGTGCGGAGAGCGCTGGAGCCCTTGGGAAACCACCATGTACGAGTATTTGAAATTTAGATCATGTTGTTGCATTTGCTATCTCATAAAATAAAGCACATTACAAGGGCCTAGATATCCTAATGCAGGAGGCCCACACATGCATTATTATCCAGCGTCTATGCCGTATTCATTATGGCATTTATTTTGAGCATATAGCTGGCTGGGACCACAACTAACATCCAGCAACAACCATCCACCTCCCAACACAGCTCCATGCCACGCCTTATTCTTCAGCATTCACAACCTACCAAATGACAAGTCCCAAGCTCCTTTCATATCTCCAGTGCATGCAGAGAAGCTCATTCTGCCGCACATTCTCCGTGCATGTCAGACATGACATATATCATCAATCGTCTGCTAGCTTCTCCTCACATGGTGGACCACCCACACACCTATAATCCCGCCAGCCTCCTCCTCCTCCCTGTTCCTCCCCCCTCCACCCTCTTTGTCTCTCACTGCCAGCCCTTTACCTCCTCACATCCCTCCACCCACCGCCTGCACTCATCTAACTCTCCCTCCTCTCACCCCCCCCGCTACCCCCGCTCTTCCACGCCCGTCCTGCAGCCACAGAAGCCCCAGCATCATCTCATTCCACGAGTCCGGCACCCCCGGCAAGCAGTAGTGCCCGCAGTCAATGTTACCCCCGCCAGAATACACCCCGGGATGCCCGTCCCACCGCGTCAACGACATCCCGAAAATGTCCAGAAGCATCAGCGGCGCGCCGTGCCCGCGCTTCGCCCGACGCGCCTCGTACCGCCGCGCCACGTCAGCGAGAAGGACGTTGTACTTCGCCTCGGGATAATCCTTCGAACGCGCTGCGTCCTCGCTAACCGGCAGCGTGGCCGGACAGCTGCCGTGGAACCCGTGCGTGGGCGGCACGAGCGTCAAAACTACCTGCTTGCCGGTACTGGTAACGTCCTCGAACGGACGGAGGACGGAGAAAAGCGCGGTCTGGTACGCATCAAATAGCGGCAAGTCGGTGTGCGGGCTTGCGAAGTGAATGTTTTTCCCCTGGATGCGCACCGATGACCACCACTGCCCTGCGCTTATAACGAATATATCGTGCTCGTTATAGTGCCGGAACCACCAGTCGTCGGGATTCTCTAGGTCAAGCTCGCCGCCCGTGTTGAACACGTGCTCGTCGATCAGAGTCAGATTTACAAGGTAATGGCTCCAGTAGAACGCCACCGTGGCGTTACAACTCGGCCAGTGGTACACTTGCGCGTACGGATGGCTGCCCAGGACCTCGGGTTCGCCTTGCGTACCGAACATGATACACGCGAGCGAGTTGAAATGGTTGCGTACGATTGAATCGCCAATGTACGCGACGTTCCTGTTTCGCATCAGCTCGCACGCGCTCTTCGCCGTCAGCTGCGGCATCGCGTCGCAGCCGCCGCCTGCCGCCGTCGCACCGTCGCCAACTGTCGCATTGTCGCGCGTCGGTCGCCACCGGAGCTTTTGGTAGCCTTTATCGGGCCGCCCGTGCGCGTCGCACTGCGTCGCAGCGTGAATAAATGGGCAGTCAAGACTGGAATACAGCGGACGGTTCGCATCCGCCTCCCACATCCCGTCGTTGATGTCGCACGTCGTCGAAACGTCGCCAGCCCCCGCCGCTGCGCCAGCCGCATTGTCGCTCGCCTCCGCGGCGAGTGCGGAAATATCGAGGGAGCGGGAAGCTGGCGACGTGCGGGACTCTTGCGAGCTAGCGGAAGCGCCAGTAGGGGAATTCGGGACCGTTGCGACAGGATTTGAAGACCCGCGATCATTCGCGACAGCGCTGCGACTTGCGGCGACAGCGTTGCGACCTTCAGCGTGCATGCCGTCGTCGACGTAGATCTCGACCGCGCCGATGGCGGATTCCGGTTGTTCAATGATGATGGTCCCCGATAGGAGGGTCTCCTGCTCCCGCACGCCCAGCTCGTGCAATCCTCTACTGCGCGACGGCGCGGCGCGACGTGGATCCGCGGGCCGCGAAGTCGGCATCTCTCGTAGTTTTCTGGCACGGGGGCTGTCGGTGGCTGGTCGAGCAATTGTGAAACTGGCAGCGTGTGTTTGTAGGGCGAGCGCGACAACGACGAGGAGGATTGCGACTGGAGCGCACCCCGGCGCATGGCGTGAAGTATGATACCGTCTGATGGTGGTCATTGTGAGGATGCTGCTCTGCTTACTCGTATTAGAACCAATATTCATGAAAATCGCGCTGGACGGAAGAGCGAATGCAACAAGATACAGCGACAGGATCGGACGGAGCTACAATGAACACGAGGAGGATGGCCCAGCTACAATAGGAGCGTGTTGTATGAAAAGGTCACTGCGGCTGCAAGATGACTGACGGGATTGAGGATGATGAGCAACTGAATGCGCAGGTGAACGGAAGAAAGACGGTGGAAGTGAGGAAGGTTGTCGTTGTTCCTGCTCTGACTATCCATACTCCGATTTTCCTTGCGCTACAAGCAGGCGAAATTGAGCTTCCATTCGCCCCAGCCAGCTGGCTGTGCATGCGAGAGCGACGAAAACATACGAAACTCTCACCTCAGCAACCTTGATTGGTCGGATGAAGTGGCCAGTATCTGGAGAGGGGTCTAAGGGGAGGTTACATTGCGCGCTGGCCCATTTACAAGGAAATGGACCAGCAAATGCAAGGGGGCACCATTTTAGAGGGACCACTTCCAAAAGTGGTCCCGCGTGGTACCGGGGACCATTTGCGGCGGACCAGCCATGCACAGTGCATTGCAAGAACAAAACGAAGTGTTGACGAAATCAAAAGTGTACCTGGTCACGCTTGAACAAGATGTCGCACACAGCAGATACTTTTGGCGAAACAATAAAAACGCAGTTTTCGCATGCGATTCCCATCGCCTTGGGTCGCTCTGGAAATGGTCCTGCGTGTCGAGCTCGTACGTGCGCCTCGCACTGTACATGCTGGTCCGTGGGCGGGTGCAAGTCGGGTCCACACCTGGGCCGTTCGCTGGTCCATGCTGGTCCGCGCAATGCCCCTGGGCCGCAGCGGCCCAGCACGGCCCAGCATAGTTCTTGCGCACATGTAACACCCCCTAATTCCGTTACCAGCTGTCGATGGGGCATGTGCCAACCTTGTTTTCGCCAATGACCACGTCGAATCGCCGCGGGTGGAGGAATTGTGGGGTGGCGAAAAATTTGGGGGTGGTGGAGAATAACCTGGGAGAAAGTGGAGTACAGCTGGGCATGAGGAAAGTGTGGCAGCGAGGCGTATGAGGATGGGCCAATTTTGGTGGCTTGGATGCGGAAGTATAACTCCGTAATACGCTTCCTCGGTAGTATTATCTAGCGTAAATGTTATATAGCGGGCTGCTAAATGTTGAGCTTACTTTCACTCACACACACACACATCCCTCCAAGTTTCTTGTATGGTGCTGTTTTTTTGCTCATTAGAATAAAAAAATGTGTATATATATCTCACTTCACTCTTTATGTCTGTGCTGCTTTCTAACCACTCCCTCATCCTTCCCCTCCACCATTCCACCCTACCCTCTTCCCTGTATTACCTACTACCACCTACCTACCCCTTCAGCACGGCAGCGAACAGACATTACTGCAAACAATTACCAACTGTTCAGCATGGTCAAGGCTTTTGCATCACATCCATCTCTCCCCCCCCCTAGCCTCTCATGTCAACAATCTCCTCCCAATGCAAATGGCATGCTCCCCACGCCATGTCATTGGGAAGGCTGACGCATGTTCCAGGACAAGCAACTGCCAGTGGCGACGCAGAGCAGAGAGGGCGTTGTATGCGTGGCGCCAGAGGCGAATGAACACACACACATTGCATCCAGCTGTCAGGGAATATATTTACTGTAGCTCGCCTATGCATGATGAAGGTGCTACAATTTAACATATTGGTAACAAATATAAAGAGAGGTATTTGAAGCCAATTCTGCTTCATCATACAGACAAACACTTACACAATGGACATGGCCATGGCTGGTCCTTCTTGGACTTCTAAATATGGACCCATATCCACATGGCACATGCTTTATTCGGATACCCTCACAGAGAGGATAATAAATTAAACCCTTTTGCGATGTATGACCCATGACGCCACTCTCTCTGCATTCACTGATTCACCTAGCCATCCATCCTCAGTCCCGCTGTGCTTCGTCCAGCACCCACAGCTGCTGCAGCATCATCTCATTCCAAGCGTCAGGCACGCCGGGCAGGCAAAAATGTCCGCAATCCCTCACCCCGTTGGGCAGGAGCGCCCACTTGCCCGGATGCCCGTCGCTTCGGAACAGGGTCGGCCGAGCCTGATCCAGCAGCACCACTTTAGCTCCTTGCATTCTCCCCTCCGCCCTCTCCTTCCCATGCATCCCCGCTACAAGCTTCCTCATCACCCCATTATAAGGCTCCATCGTCATGTAATTCCTGATAAACCTATCATTAAGGAACCCCGTGGCGTTCATAGGAGCCTTGTGCGGGCACTCGCTCTTAAAGCCCTGGCCCGTGAAATGGGTCGCCGAATTAGTGGGAATGACGAGCACCTTGCCTCGCATGCGGTCGCTCTTAAACACCCCCAGGGTCATCTCCCAAGCCTTCTGAAACCCCTCTGCTACCGACAGCTTCTGGTGGGGCGGCGCAAAGCGGAAGCCTGAGCCATGGATCTTCTGCTCGGTCCACCAATGACCTGCGGACACGTGGCCGAGATGGGAGACAGGAGGACAAAAAACAGATCAGCAAGGTTCCAACCCTCACAGAACATCACACAACGATCAGCAAACAGCATACAGAGTGGTGGTAGGAGCGCAAAAATCGGGATTTCTCAAATAACAGAGAACTACGTGAACGTGATGCGTACAATATGAGAACCACGTATTACAGTGTGTTTCTCATATGGTACGCATCACGTTCTTTTTCCCTCACCTGTGTTTATAACGAAGGTATCGTGTTGATCCAGTCGCCTCATCCATCTCTCGTCCGGCTTGTTCAAGTCCATCACGCCGCCGCCCTTGGGCTTGCCGGGATCATCCAACGTCAACTGCACCATGAAGTTCGTGCGATAGAACGCGAGGGTGAAGTTGCACGACGGCCACACGAACCCGCGCTCCAGGCCGAACGACATGTTGATGCCCGCCAGATCCTCCGGCATCCCGTAGAATCCGTACATGAGGCACGCGAGCGACTCGAACGTGTTGCGGGTGACGGAGTCGCCTATGAATGCGATGCTCTTTCCAGCGACGAGGCTGCAGAGCGTGGCTTTGTTCAGCGTGGGAAGCGGGCAGCCCGGGGTTGTCCATCGGATTCGCTCGAATAGGCGGTCCGGCCGGCCGTTTTTTACGCAGTTTTGATTCCCGTAGATGAATGGACACGTGGCGTCGTACAGTGGCCACGTGGGATCCACCTGCCACGAGCCGCGTTCCATTGAGCAGCTCGTGCGATCCTTGGGATTGCCGGTACCACCACCCGCGCCCCGCTGCGACGACCGCTCCAACACCTGCTTCTTCGCGACGGGCGAAACGTCGGTTACCAGATTGTCGTCCAATGGAAGAAGGGCGGGCCCCGCGGCATCGTCCGGCGAAGCGGGAGAGAGCATGACATCATCGGAGGTATCCGCGCCGTCGACGGCCATGCCGTCATCGACGTAAAGCTCCACGCGCCCGACGGCGCTTGGGAGTGGCGGCCGCTGAATCACCTGCGGCTCGAACACCGCCTGCTCGGCCCGCTCGATCTTCTCGACCAATTCCGTGATGCCAGCTAGGCGCCGCCTCATGACGTGGTGATGGGAGGAGTCGGAAAGGGTTTCTGTGCGGTGTTGGGTGGATTCGCTGGAGTGCGATGCGGTGAAGGACTGGAGGAAGGAGGTCAGAGAGAATGGTGTGGATGATGCTTCGGTGATTGTAACGAGAGGAATGACGAGCAATAATAGCAGTAATCTTGATGCTCGTAAGCCATCGGGACGGTGAGGAATGTACGCCATTTTTTACGACCGAAGACGCGTCTTGTAAAATGATGGGAGCAATATTTACCCCTTGCACTTGAGCAAAAAGGTAGCCTATCTTCTCGTTCAGCTGCCGAAAAAGTAGGGGGTCCTACGCATTTATGCTTACCATGGACTTGTGGAACGACACGTTAGAAGCCAGACGCACACGAGTGACCTATTGAGCGCGGTGCTTTCTGCCAGTTCTGATAGCAGAGCCAGCAACTCTGTCGCCACGTTTATCTGATCGAACAACCCACGACAATGCCCTTCAATTCCGCCATCAAAATGCCTTCCCACTCTTGTTGGAAGATCTGTCTTTCTGTCCATACTCAACTCGCCATAGCGTCGTGGTATGGTTGGTGTATGGGGGAGCGGGGCTCAATTTCCCGCAGGCAACAGCTTGATCTGCACATGCGACTCGGTACTTGTGGAAATGGCTGGCTATGATTTGCACATTGGCCAATGGCCGCACGAGATGGAAAGCGCGTCGCGGAAGTTGACATTAAGGCACGCTCTCTGATTGGCTTGGCTGCGTGGGCGCTTGGCTGATTCGCTATAGAAATGCGAGAGGGCGAAGATCAAGTGTGGCAAGAGGGCGGAGTGTGGCTGCGACAGGTTATGAAGGCGGTCGTGGCGAGAGAAGGGTTTCTGGTGGTGGGATGCGGTGGGGTGCAATAATTTCTTGCCAGAATTTGCAAACATTAATTTCAGTTCTTAGGGATAGATAATACCACTATCACTGCTACAAGAGGTGATCATCTTAAAACGGTTTGCTCTTCCAACCCTTGTAAAGGGCAGATGCACCGCTGCGTATGCACCTAATTCTTGCAAAGATTTCACTCACATTATATTTACAATAATTCAACGGTACGTTCCCTATTCTCTTGATTTCAGCCATAGCTGCCCCAACAGCATCTCATTCCATGCATCAGGCACACCAGGCAAGCAATAGTGCCCACAATCCACCGTACTCGATCCCGTATACACCCCCGGGTGCCCGTCCTGTCGCCAGACCGACACCGCATGAATATCCAAGACCATTGCATCCGCCCCCACCCAACCCTGCCTCCCCCTCGCCTTCCTGTACACCTCCACTGCACCCCTCACCACCGCATTGAACCCATCCATGTGCGAACCCGGGCGTTTGGCCACTTGATTTCCGTCAAGAGAGGGTTTAAGGGGTTCAGTGTAGGAGCACTGGTTAGAAGAAGGTGCCTCTTTGTGGCCAGGCACGCTGGTGGTAACCACCACGAGCTTGTTACCGCATTCAGGAGAGGAGAAAGCGGATAGCGCGGTGTTAAGGGCGGTGCGATAGGCTGAGAGGAGGGAGGTGGGGGAGGCGAAGGAGGAGTAGGGCGGAGCAAAGGGGATGCCTCCTAGCCAGAGGCGCTGCGGTGACCACCAGTGGGCTGTGGGAGGGAGACACGGGGAGAGGGATGGGATGAGAGATGGGGAGAGAGACAGGGAGAGGTAACTGCAGGGGCGCGGAAAGAAAGGCATGCTTCCCAGCCAGAGGCGCTGAGAAATGGGGAGAGACACGGGGATAAAGGCAGGGAGAGGCATGGGAAGGGATACGGGGAAAGGAAACGACATGGACAGGAGCAGAACAGGAGAGTGTAGAAATACAAAACGAAATCCCAATGGTTCAAGATACACATTCCCAAGCAGCACAAAGCACGAGCATCTGCCAACGGGTTTGCTGACCCCTGAGAGTGTCACTGGTTGCCTCTCTGTGTGCCCATCGGAATACCTGTGTTGATCACGAACGTGTCATGCTCTGCCACGTGGCGGCCCCAGTGCATGTCCACGTGGCTGAGGTCCAGCTGGCCGCCCTTGCTCTGCTCGCCTGGCACCTTCAGCGACAGGTTGGTGAGATAGGCGCTCCTGAAACTCCGAGAACGGGGGGAAAGGAGGGTGCGGGGGGGGGGGGGGGGGGGGGGGGGGGGGGGGGGGGGGGGGGGGGGGGGGGGGGGAGGGGGGAGGGGGAGAAAGGTGGATCTTGAGTTAAGTCGACTCAAAATTCGCCCTTGCCATGATTGCCTGGTATCGTCAGCGACAGAGGGAAGGGGAGGAAACGGGGAGGTACTAGGAAATGACCTTCGAGTCGACTCAAAAGTCGGCCTTGCTGTGCTCGCCTGGCACCTTCAGCAACAGGTTGGTGAGATACGCGCTCCTGGGGCATGCGGGGATGGTGGGCAAAAGGAAAGGGAGGTGGGGAGGGGGATGGGGGGGAAGAAATTCTGAGACAACTCAATAGTCGCCCTTGGTGTTCTAGACTGGGACCGTGAGTAACAGGTTGGTGCGATACGTGCTCCTGAAACACCGAAGCGAATGGGGGAAGAAGGGGACGTGGGGGAAGGGAAGAGAAAGAATTTTGAGTCTACTTAAAAGTCACCCTTGGTGTGTTTGCCTTGCACTGAGAGAGACAAGTGAAAGGGAAAGGGAAAGGGAAAGGTGGGGAGGGAGGAGGGGAAAAGGGCAGATGGAGAAGGGGAAAGGCCAGCAGAGCACCCACTGCTGCTGCCTCACGCTCATAGGCACACCCGCGCCATCCATTCCCCCTTGTCTCCCTTCTCCCTCCCAACCCCCTCTCACCATTAGCAGCCTCACCAGTAGAAGGCAATAGTGGCGTTGCAGGCAGGCCAGCGCAACACGCGCTCCTGCTGCGCCACGCTCACAGGCGTGGGGGAGCCATGGAAGCGGTGCAGCAGGCAGATGAGCGACTCGAACATGTTCTCCGTTAACGAATCGCCCACAAACGCGATGCTCCTGTTCGCCACTAACGAGCACAAAGTGTTCCCGTTGAGCTTCGGCGCGGGGCACCGAGGTTGTTTGTATCGAAGCCGCTGATAAAGAGTATCCGGCCTGCCGTTTTCCATGCACTGATTCCCAGTGTGCCAAATGAGCGGGCAGTCTCCCGCGTTATAAAGAGGCCAGTCCGAATCTTCCTCCCAGAACCCCTCGTTAGTGTCACATGGCGATTCCACGACCAAACCATCCAGCCCCACTTTGATCTCCGTTAGTAGACCGCTTTGATTATTCTCCGTCAACACCGAGGACGCTAATAACGAGGATGAGGCCTCTTTAGCGGATCCCATGCCATCCGCGACATAGAGCTCGGCTCTCCCCACGATATTCGCACGCTCTATCGGGTCGTCGCCTTCCGTCGCACGCGAATCCTGCTGCGACGCTGCGACAGCCGGATTCAGCTCTGCTTTCGCGAGGGACCCGGGAATGCGAGGGAAAAGCGCGGCGGGTTTCGAGTCGCCACGCCGAGTTCGAGGCGGCTCAAAAGCAGACTCCTGCTCTGCGACGGTTCGCGAACGACGACCAGTTGCGAAACCTTCGTCTGGGAGAAGCCGTCGCTTAATCGAAGCGAGCGACGTTTGTTGCGCTGTCGGGTGTCGCGGAAAGAGTGACGAACGAGTTCGGTAACGGGGGAAGGGGCGCAGTTTGCGCGACTTGCGGTCTGCGATGGTTGAACGGTAGAGATTCGACGAGGAGATGGCGACGAGGTGTGCGAGCAGTAGTAACGCGAGGAGGAGAGGAGAGTGACGCATTCTGCTGGGTAATCGGGGTAGCATCGCAACGAGAACAAAAGTGTTCCGCTCCTTTCCACACACTCTTAGAGCGTCGTCGGGTCATTGAACGAAATAGTTTAGTTGCGCGAACGCAACTTGCGCGAAATAGGGACCAGCCAGTCCCCATGCATCCACTGGTGGTCAGTGAGCGATTCGGCCAATATGGCAGAGGGTGGTGGTGGATGGTGCTTTACCTCGTCAAGAGTCGTATCGTTTCGGTGCTTAATTTACACAAGCCGACTTTCATGTTTGAACTAAGAGGAGTTTCACAGTTCCAAACGTTGAATTAAATCAAGAGAAGCTGAAAACGATAAACAATCGAAAGTAGACCGTCTACAGTAAACAGTTTTTCTCACAATCTGTGTGTTCTTATGTAGGACTGTGCATCTAGTTCACGCTACGCGGGATGCTTCTTGTGAACCTGTCCAGAATTATGGGCAAATTTGTTTCGTCGAAGCAGCGAGTTTTCGTCAATATATAATAACCCTTCGTCAAAGTACTCGGTTGATTTCGGATACAGCCCAGCACCACCCAGCGGCTTGCCCACACCACAGCAATACCTCCCTCCCTCCCCATCCCATCCCATGCCAGTCGCGCTGCGGCGCGGTGTGCCGTCACCCAACCGACTAGCGGCGCCGTCTGCAAGCAGTTGCCGTGGTACTGTACATACGTCGCGTATTTTCTCCTCACCTCACATCTCTTCCTCATTGGATAGCACGCTCTCCTTGCTGTCCCGTCCATGGGTCCCCTCCCGTCCCATGACCTCTCACTCGCTAGTTTCGATGCCCTTACTCGTCTCGCTCTCGTGAATGGGCGAGGAGTGAGGAGAAAGGGGAGATTTCGACAGCGCAGCGGAAGGCGTGCTAGGCGGGTGGATTGCGAGCCGCGCTCCTCGTGCGCTGGCGAATATTAGCGAGTGTGCAGCATCTGCGCGTGCTACCAAAGGGCTAACCCAGCCGCGCCGAGTAATCGCCGTCTTGCCCGGTAGTTAAAGCGATCGCGCCGCTAGGAAGTGCGCTACAGGCGCTTGTATTGCTGTTCCGCGTTTGCCACGTCAGCAATTCCTCTTTAACGACTCGTCGAGCGCGTTCTGTATAGGGATTTCATCGCAGAAGAACAGCGAAGTATCGTCTTCAGTTTCGGGTAACCATGGACCCTAAATTTAGCGAACGTCGAGACACCATGTTTCGCGTTTCGCCGAGACCACCAGCCGACCAATGCCAATCTCACGCGACAGTTACATCTTCGCAGCAATTCGCCAAGGGTTCGCCGAAGTCGCCAGGCCGAACCGCTGTCGCGAGCTGCGTATCCCTTCCCCGTCTCTTCGCTCTCCTCGTCCTTTTAGGGTGCGTAGGATTGTGGCCGGCTTTTCTCCGCACCGCCGCAAATCACGCCGACGATCGCGGCGCTGCCAGCGAAAACCCCGGTTCAGAGTCATCGGATAGCCCAGGCACGCATAACGGCTTCTTCAGCGTGTTTGGCGGGCCTTCCGCGATTCGCGGCCGATTCTCCGCGCGGCAGCTGATGGAGATGACGTCAGAGGGCGCTTTAAGGCACGGAGGGCGCCGCGAAGGGGGGACCGTGCTGACGTGGCACGACGATATGACTGAAGCGGAAGGGCAAACGGAGAAGGGGAAAGGGGGAAGGCATGAGGGGGAAGGGGGAAGAGAGGAGAGAACGGAAGAATCAGCGAGGGGGGAGGGGGAAGCGGAAGGGGAGCGTGCGGGGGGTGGGGAGGAGCGCGCCCACCGCGCTGGCCCGTCTATCGCGCCAGACGCAGTGCTCGCCACGGCATCCCGCGGTGGGGAGCGAGGGGCGGTCAAAGCGCCTGAAGCGCTGCACCCTGTCTTGGGGGACGAGGAGGCGTCGCGTGGAGTGGAGGGCGGGGGAAGAGGGGTGGGATTGGGGGATGGGCGGGGGGAGGGAGGAGAGGGAGGAGAACGAGCAAGAGAGGGAGGCGAGGGGGGAAGAAAGGTGGGGAATGACAGAGGAATAGTAGGATTAGGGGAGGAGGGCGAGAGAAGGGGATTGGAGGGAGGGGAGGGAGGAGCGGAAGGAGGAGGGGAGGGAGGGGAGTGGGGTTGGCGGTGGGTGGACGAGAAGGACGCATCCTGGCCGCTCTACTCCGCTGCATCCTGTCCGTTCATCTTCCCCGGGCAGAACTGCCGATCCAACGGCCGCCACGACACGAGATTCGAGCGTTACGCGTGGCGGCAGGGCGGGCAGAGGAGTGGGGAAGGCCGGGAGGGCTGGGGGGGAGGGGAGGGAGGGGAGGAGGCGGAGGGCAAGGGGAAGGAAGGAGGGGAAGGGGGGGAAGAAAGAGGGGAGGAGGCGGAGGGGAAGGAGCGGTCGTGGTTTGATGCTCTGCGGGGCGTGCGACATGGAAGAGGGATTGGATCCGCCTCACCCGTGACAGCCAATGGGATGATGACACGTGTGGCGTATGTGGGGGACAGCATGATGCGCAACATGTTTGAGAGCATGGCTTGCATGCTGCATGCGCACCCCATGTGCGGCGGCAATCCCGAGGTGGTGCGCGCGAATGTGGTGGAGAGGGTGATACGATGGGACACCTGCAACGTCACCCTCGCTAACCTCAGGTACACCCGTTGCTGTGCCACAAAACCAAGACGACAATCCCAAGGTGGTGTGGGTGAATGTAGTGGAGAGAGAATTGGTCAACTCATAACGACCTGAAGCAACCAGCACAGTAACGACCTGAAGCAACCAGCACAGTAACGACCTGAAGCAACCAGCACAGTAACGACCTGAAGCAACCAGCACAGTAACGACCTGAAGCAACCAGCACAGTAACGACCTGAAGCAACCAGCACAGTAACGACCTGAAGCAACCAGCACAGTAACGACCTGAAGCAACCAGCACAGTAACGACCTGAAGCAACCAGCACAGTAACGACCTGAAGCAACCAGCACAGTAACGACCTGAAGCAACCAGCACAGTAACGACCTGAAGCAACCAGCACAGTAACGACCTGAAGCAACCAGCACAGTAACGACCTGAAGCAACCAGCACAGTAACGACCTGAAGCAACCAGCACAGTAACGACCTGAAGCAACCAGCACAGTAACGACCTGAAGCAACCAGCACAGTAACGACCTGAAGCAACCAGCACAGTAACGACCTGAAGCAACCAGCACAGTAACGACCTGAAGCAACCAGCACAGCAGTACAATTGGCAAGCACTCCAGGCATTGCTTTGCTGCTCCGTCCCTCTTCCCTTTCCCCATCCCCCCAGGAGCAACTTCCTCACGGAGATATCTTTCAAGGACCCCTCCTTCACTGCTCACTGGCTTAACACACTCCCCCATACCGCACATCACCCCTCCCTGCCCCTCTCTTCCCCTCCCCCATCCCCCCAGGAGCAACTTCCTCACGGAGATCGCCTTCGAAGACCCAGCGGATGAGTTCACAGGCGCCACTCTACACCTCCCCCTGTGCGGCACACACGGCGCCACACCGTACATCACCGCTCTGTGTCCCTCCCTGCCCCCCCAATTCCCCCCAGGAGCAACTTCCTGATGGAGCGGAGATCTCATTCAAGGACCCAACGGACGAGTTCAAGGGGGGCACCTTGTAACCCCCCATACCGCACAGCACCGCTCATCTTTTCCTCTGCCTTTGCAACCTTCTCCCATTCCCCCCAGGAGCAACTTCCTCACAGAGAACTCATTCAAGGACCCGACGGATGAATTCAAGGGCGCCACGCTGTACCTCTCACTCACCGCGTCACACCCCTCCATACCGCTCTTCACCGCTCCCTGCCCCTCTAAACCCCCCAGGAGCAGTTTCCTCACGGAGATAGCTTTCAAAGATCCCACGGACGAGTTCAAAGGCGCCACGCTGTACCTCTCCCTGTACTTCACACACCCTGCTTGACGCACGCCCCCACACCGTACATCACCGCTCCCTGCCCCTCCCTGTTCCTCCAAATTCCTCAGGAGCAACTTTCTCACGGAGATCTCCTTTAAAGACCCAACGGACGAGTTCAAGGGCGCTACTCTGTACCTCTCCCGCCCCGACAAGCGGTGGAAGCAGCGCGTGAAGAGCTATGATGTGTTTGTGATCAACTCAGGTGAGGATTGTGTACATGCACCATGCAAGCGACACACATATGCCACTCTGTGGTTCCTCTCTCGACCGGACAAGCGGTGGAAGCAGCGTGTGAAGAGCTACGATGTGTTTGTGATCAACTCAGGTGAGGGTTGTGTACATGCACCATGCAAGCGACACACATATGCCACTCTGTGGTTCATCTCTCGACCGGACAAGCGGTGGAAGCAGCGTGTGAAGAGCTACGATGTGTTTGTGATCAACTCAGGTGAGGGTTGTGTACATGCACCATGCAAGCGACACACATATGCCACTCTGTGGTTCCTCTCTCGACCGGACAAGCGGTGGAAGCAGCGTGTGAAGAGCTACGATGTGTTTGTGATCAACTCAGGTGAGGGTTGTGTACATGCACCATGCAAGCGACACACATATGCCACTCTGTGGTTCCTCTCTCGACCGGACAAGCGGTGGAAGCAGCGTGTGAAGAGCTACGATGTGTTTGTGATCAACTCAGGTGAGGGTTGTGTACATGCACCATGCAAGCGACACACATATGCCACTCTGTGGTTCCTCTCTCGACCGGACAAGCGGTGGAAGCAGCGTGTGAAGAGCTACGATGTGTTTGTGATCAACTCAGGTGAGGGTTGTGTACATGCACCATGCAAGCGACACACATATGCCACTCTGTGGTTCCTCTCTCGACCGGACAAGCGGTGGAAGCAGCGCGTGAAGAGCTACGATGTGTTTGTGATCAACTCATGTGAGGATTGTGTACATGCACCATGCAAGCGACACACATATGCCACTTTGTGGTTCCTCTCTCGCCCCGACAAGCGGTGGAAGCAGCGTATGCAAAGCAATGCACAGCACATGCATCTCACCCGCCCAACGGACGAGTTCAAGGGCGCCACTCTGCACCTCTCTCGACCGGACAAGCGGTGGAAGCAGCGTGTGAAGAGCTACGATGTGTTTGTCATCAACTCAGGTGAGGGTGGTGAGAGCGATGCACATTCAGTACACATGCACCATGCATGCGACGCACATGTGCCACGCTGTACCACTCTTGACAAGCGGTGGAAGCAGCGTGTGAAGAACTATGATGTGTTTGTGATCAACTCAGGTGAGGGGGATGAGGGTGGTGAGGGGGGTGGTGTGTGCCTGAGCACAGTTGACGCACATGCAACACACATGCATCTCTCCCGCCCGGACAAGCGGTGGAAGCAGCGTGTGAAGAACTACGACGTGTTTGTCATCAACTCAGGTGAGGGTGGTGGTGGTGACTTTTGAGTCGACTCAGAAGTCACCACGTCCTTGTCATGAATTCAGTTGAGCTGGTGCTGCTGACTCTGGTGTGCTAGTGTGCTAGCATGGAACACATTCAGTACACACGAAACACATGCATCTCGCCCGGACAAGCAGCAGCGGAAGCGGGTCAAGGAACACAGCACGTTCGTGCTGATTAGTTGCGAGGGTGGTCAAATAGGCATTGCCCCCACCTCCTTGCCGCTTCTTCTTGCTGCTATTCTCTTGTCACTCACCTTCCACACTCAACTCCCCTCACTCCCTTGCTCTCTCTTCCTTTCTTCTCCCACCCATCTCCTTGATCCTGCCCTTCATTCTCACAGGCCACTGGTGGACACGTGGCAAGCTCACAGAGCGCCACGTCAGCTTCTCTCCACCCCACAAATCCCTTAACGTCCTCTCTGCCTTCCGCCAAGCCATCCGCACCACTTTGCACCGCTTTGCATCGCGCCACATGAGCAACAAAACCGTCATCATTACCACCTCCTCCCCTAACCACTTTTCCCATCATAGGCCCTCCTCCACCCTTTCTCGTGACCATACAATCAGCCTCCACTCCTTTCACAGTACCGCACCTCACTCCCTAGACTCCCCACTTAGTCAAGACTCAGATTCCTCTAGGCACTTAGCTAAGCGACGGAGATTGCTTGCAAGCAGCAGTGCAAAGAAGCACAGGAAAACGAGCAAATCCGTTAAGAAACGTGGGCAGTGCGATGCAGTGGAGCCTGTGGGGAGTGAGGAGGAGGCTTATAACGAGTACGAGGAACAGTGGGAGCGAGTAGAGCGGTTGAATGCGGTGGTGAGGGAGGAGGTAAGGGAGTATCAGAAAATGCAGAGGGAGAAAGAGGAGAAGAGGAGGAAGAGAGAGGGAGAGAGCGAGGCGGGAAGTAGGAGGAGAAAGCTACTTCAAGTGGCGGGCGATGCAGCAGCAGCAGCAGCAGCAGCAACAACAACAAGAGCAGGGGGCAGGGCACTGAAAAACGTTGTGCTGAAGACAGGTCGGCAAAGGTTGGTAATGGCAGGGCAGGAAGCTTCACTAGATGCAGGACGGCAACAAGCACTGCGAAATGCAAGCACCTCGTTGCAAATCACACGCTTGTCGCAGCACGGAGACACAAGAGACTGGGAGATACAGCAGCAGGGAAGGTCAAGACAGCAGCGGGACGAGCCAGGGATGTTGCAAAAGGAAGGGTCGCGGGAAGGGTTGCGGGACACGGGACCGGCAGAGGGAGCGAGAGTGGAGAGCAGAAGGCGAGAGGGAGCGAGGGTGGAGAGGAGAAGACGAGAGGAAGCAAGAGTGGAGAGTAGAAGGTTAGAGGGAGCGAGGGTAGTGCTGTTAGAAGTGGCAGCAATGAGTGTGATGCGGCACGATGGGCATCCAGGTGTCTTCTCGGGATTGGTTGGGGGACAGGCTGACTGCGCCCACTGGTGCTTGCCAGGCGTGCCTGATGCTTGGAACGAGCAACTGCTAAGGCTATTGTGCTGAGCTGTAGTGAGATGTTGTCAATGCCAACAAGTGTATTGTATCGCTCAAAGACTGACTGCGCCCACTGATGCTTGCCAGGCGTGCCTGGTGCTTGGAGCGAGCAGCTGCTAAGGTTATTTACTGAGCTGAATGAATGAACCACCATATTGTCAATGCCAACCAGGGTCCGGTAATGTATTGTATTGTATTGCCCAAAGACTGAATGCGCCCACACACAGGTGCTTGCCAAGTGCGCCTGTTGCTTGGAACAAGCACTTGCTAAGGCTATTGTCATTACTAGAGCAGGAGAAACAAAAAGAAATCAGCAAAGAACAATTTGGCAGATATAGACATTCCAGTCGTACATGGTACTTGTACTTCAGGCGCGCATATCGACCAAACTAGGCGGAGAATAACTTATGTTTGTAGAATTGCAATTACTAAAATTTTCTTGCCAGTTCGCTAGATTAGGCCTTCTACTTCAACAACACTAGGCTCTAACTTTTCCAATCCACATATATTGGGAGATTTTATAGTTCCAGTTCTGCCTTGTACCTGCACACGAGCATGCATACTGACAAAACCGATCGACGAATTATTCTCTCAGTAGAAATACAGTGAATACCGTACCATACGAATTCTCATTTTCTTTAAACTACACCATTCCCCACCGCCCGACCATGTTAACACCTCTCCGATCTTTGTAATTTGACAAATATAGACATTCCAGTACAACATGGTACCTGCATTACAGGCGCGCATACTGACCAAAATAACCAGCGCATTACTTATGCCTATAGAGATGCAGTTAGTACCATATCCTTGCGAGTCGATTAATTTAGGCCTTCTACTTTAAAGCCGGCAGCCCAAATTGCACAAGTTTTAAAAGGTTGACGCGAGGGGGTTTTTGTGGTGAGGGTTTTGGCGAAAGATTCCGATTTCGCTTTTTTCGTTTTTTTCGTTTTTTTTCGCCAAACCCAGCCCGCCCTCGTATTTCGCCCTGGGGGTTGGTTCAGTTCCCAAAAGTCCCAAATTGCAGGCACGCTTTTCTTCAAACCTTGAAAACACTAGTTCGTCAAGTTTTAAAAGCTTGACCCGCGCGGCCCGCAATTTGGGACTCGGGCTTTAACAACACTAGGTTCTAACATTTCTGATCCACATAACTTTGGGAAATTTCAGAGTTCCGGTTCCGCCTTGTACCAGGCAGAACCAAAGCTCAGAAATCTTTCAAATTATGTGATTCGGAAAGGTTGTAAGCTAGTGTTGTTGAAGTAGAAGGCATAATCTAGTGGACAGGCAAGAATATGGTACTAACTGCATCTCTACAAACATAAGTAATGCGCTGGTCAGTTTGGTCGGTATGCGCGCCTGTAGTGCATGTACCATGTACGACTGAAATGTCAATATTTGCCAGATTACATAAATCCAATAGGTTAAAACATGGTTGGGGGTTGGGTAATGGTCCAATTTAAAGGAAACATGAATATATATGGTATTCGCTGTATCTGTACAGAGAGAATAATGTGTCGGTCGGTTCGGTCAGTATGCACGCTTATGTGTAAGTACAAGGCAGAACTCGAACTAAAAAATCTCCCATATTAGGTGGATCGGAGAGGTTATCAGCTAGTGTGTTGAAGTAGAAGGCCTAATCTAGTGGACTGGCAAAACGGTCGAAATCGTAAGCGCCGAACTTTTCTTCACGCAAAAACCAAGCCGAAAAGGCTATAGTATGTGTATTTGGACATGGGGCACTCGAATATGCAATATAATTCAGGTTGTTGAATGCTTTTCCCTACGCCTATAAGGATTCACGCGCTTTTTAGGCACTTGGCGGCAAAAACGGCCGAAATCGTAGGCGTTGAATTTTTCTTTGCGCAAGAACCAAGCCGAAAAGGCTCTAGTATGTGTATTTGAACATGGTCCACTCTAATATGCAATAAAATTCAGGTTGTTGAATGCTTTTCCCTATGCCTATAGGGTGCACGCGCTTTCTAGGCACTTGACGGAAAAAAACGGCCGAAATCGTAGGCGCCGAACTTTTCTTCACGCAAGAACCAAGCCGAAAAAGCTCAAGAATATGTATTTGAATATGAGCCACTCGAATCTGCAATACAATAAAGGTTGTTGAATGCTTTTCCCTACGCCTATAGGGATTCACGCACTTTCTAGGCACTTGGCGGCAAAAACGGCGGAAATCGTAGGCGCCGAACTTTTCTTCGCGCAAGAACCAAGCCGAAAAGGCTCTAGTATGTGTA